AGAAATGAAGATCAGATCTTCCATATCGCAGTTATAGTGTACAAAAATTATCTGCGTACAGGTACTTCAGGAGATCAGCTAAAACAGGTACCCATTTGACACACACCTAGTTGTTTCTCCATCTCCCAGTACTTTCATGCATCCTTGTAGGTGTACCTGCATCTACTAGTCCTTGTCATTGTACTGTAACAAGCTGTTTGCAATTACTTTTTGAGAACATCCCTGTTGGGTCCGCAATGATCCGGGCATTGCCAAGACGTCGAACCTGCCGCTGATGGTGCATTCACGCCAAGCCTTGAGCTTGTATGGATAATATAAGCCTATGCCAATGCAGTAGCACCCTCAGAATATATATAATAATCAATGACTATACAAGAATGTTTCAGTAAAATAGAAAAGAACTTTACAAACCCTGGAATTTCACTTCCAGTACAAAGCCAGACCCAAAATCTTGTAGGTGTGGTCGCAGAAATGCAAGGTGAAACGTCAATTCTGAGCAGGTGGCAGAGGTTTAATTAAAGACGTCGATAGGAATGATATTTGCACATGAAAATCAATGGAGCTTCAATAGACGAGGGAAAGCGGAGAGGTAAGAATAATAATTACATGATTTTTGCGAGCAGGCTGGAAATATGTGCAAACAATGATGTGCCCACGGCCGCGGATAATGCAAGAGGGGCTCGTCATTGGGTGGTAGTGTCCATCAGGATCTGTAAAGTACTTGCGAATTTGAAGTAGTAGCGGATCGCTAAGTGGTTGTAAACTGAGACACAAGTATCGCTCAAATGGGAAGTGGCTGTGTGGGCCTAACCCTAGGAAACCCTGACGGTGAACAAGCGCCTGCATCGAAAGTAGTGCTGGGAACCATCAAAAGTAGTGGTGTCCTCCCTACAGAACAAAAGAATTTTTGTACACTATAACGCCCATACTTCTAGGCTCACACGTCAATGTGTTTACAGACCATCATACCTTGGAGAATTTTGACACACAGAAAGACCTTTCACGTCGACAGGCACGCTGGCTTGAAGTAATGTCACAGTACGAGATGACGATCAGCTACATCAAGGGAGAAGATAATTGTGTTGCAGATGCTCTTTCTCGCCTTCCAGTGGATGACACCCCGGTGACAGATGAAGATCCCGAAGAGATTTCCTCATGGAAAGAATGGCTCTCGAAGAACACCATAAATACGATTCTTTCAATTTCAACAGACGTATCAATTTTGACAGCCATCAAAGCAGGTTACCAGGTAGATGAATTCTGCGCAAAGTTCGTGTCAGGCGAGACAATTCTCCCAAATGTAAAAGAAGTCAATGGTCTCTGGTATATCGGTGACCGACTATTGGTGCCTCACACGGGTTCAATCCATGAGGACCTTTTCAAACTGGCGCACGACACTCTGGGACATTTTGGTGCAGATAAGTCATATGCAGTACTATGAGACACGTATTACTGGCCGAACATGCGCAGAGATCTTGAAAACTCATATATTCCAGGTTGTGTACCTTGCCAACGCAATAAATCAAGCACGACAAAACCTGCCAGGCCACTACATCCATTACCCATACCTGACAACCGTGGTGACAGCGTCGCCATTGATTTTGTTGGGCCTTTACCCCCTGACAGTGGATTTAACTGTTTACTCACGATGACAGATCGCCTAGGTTCTGATGTACGTCTAATTCCCACCCACACCGACCTCACTGCGGAAGGCCTAGCATCTCTCTTCTTCGACAACTGGTACTGCGAAAATGGACTCCCTGCCGACATCGTCTCTGATCGTGATAAGCTTTTCATTTCAAAGTTCTGGAAAGCGTTACACAAACTAACTGGTGTACAACTGAAGATGTCCTCATCCTTCCACCCAGAGACAGACGGTTCTTCTGAATGTTCGAACAAGACAATCAACCAGGCCATCCGTTACCATGTTGAACGCAACCAGAAAGGCTGGGTACGAGCCTTACCTGTCATTTGTTTTAACATCATGAACACAGTCAATGCCTCCACGGGTTTCTCAGGTTTTCAGCTACGTATGGGACGCTCACCTCATGTTCTACCCCCTCTAGTTCTGAATTGATTAGTGGATGATGCTAAATCCGATACTGATGCTGCGAAGATCATCGCCCAACTCTTGGATGACACAGCTCAAGCTCGCGACAACCTCATCAAGGCAAAGATCAACCAAGCCCACCATGCAAACAAGCATCGAGGAAAAGAGGACGTCTTCGAGGTGGGCGACAAGGTGATGCTCAGTACCTTCCACCGTCACCGAGATTATAAAGCTGGAGACAAGAGTCGTGTTGCTAAGTTCATGCCACGTTATGATGGCCCTTACATCGTATTGCATGCTAATCCTGCCCTCTCGTCCTATACTATAGAAATGCCGAACACACCAAATGTATTCCCCACCTTTCACACCTCTGAACTCAAACACTTCATACCGAATGACCCTACCCTTTTCCCCTCACGAGAACACCACTCTCCAGAACCAATACTCACCGCAGATGGTTTCGAAGAATGTTTCATTGAACGAATCATCGACCAGCGGAAACGCGGACGTGGCTATCAATATCTAGTTCAATGGCTCGGTCAAGGACCCGAAGAAGATCGATGGCTTTCCGGCAGTGCACTCGACGATTGCGAAGCCCTCGACGTATGGCAGGCTGGACTTGGTCAGGATGCCTCACGGTAGCTTTTCCCCACTGGGGTTTTTGATGCACCCGCCGGTTGATGTTGTGCCATTTTACCTTTCTCCTCTTCTCTTTCATATTACGGGACATTTTTCTTGGATGGGGGAGAGTGTAAGCATGCTGCTTACCATGTCGACATTACTCACTAGATCTCTGGTCATAGATCCTTCGATCGTACTATATTTCACGTCATGTACTTACATATTTAGCGCTAGTTCGGGATACGCCCTCACTTACCTTCCAACCACCACCATCCCCTCCTTCGTAGTCGACTACATCCCGTTTTCTCCTTCCTCTTGCTTTCAATATACGCCGTTCCTCGTTAGTCTTGTCCAATTCTCTCAGTGGTCTCGCTCTTCCATAGAGCAAGGTTACATCGCTGTTTCTATCTACGTAACCATGTCGATGCACTCCGTCTCAAGCACTGCCCTCAGTTCTCCGGTGCCAATGCAACCATGCTCGTTACAGCCAGATCCAGAAATTCCATCCCCGTAGATAAGGATGGAATATACTGGATAACAAGCAAGGTTTGTCTATTCTCTTTTGAGCCCCCACTCTGACACTAACAATTACACGAAGTGGAAAAATCTGGAGACGGTTCATCAAGTTCGTCCTCCAGATGCTTCCGGTACATGCCCGACATCATGAGCCGCAAAATCACTGCTGCCTGGCCTTGACACCGGATGATGAGAAAGACTATTTCAGGGGGGGAAGAACGCTGCAATTGGTCTAAGCTCTGCTCGTTCCCTACTAACCTCGATATTAACATTTCGATAGGTGAACTCGTTTCCAAACCAACTATTGGCTGGTCTCTACGTGCTGTTTGTCGTGCTGAGACGGAATGACTCTTATCCTCGTTTGGCCATCCGACAATATGAGCGAGCTACCACGGCACTCTGTTGAAGGTTGAAGCCAGTGTACGGCCGTGTCATATGCCAGAAGGAGGACGAGGAGGAGGCACTGGAGTGTGATAAGGCACGTCTCCGCTCAATTTCCCCCTTCTCCAGGATTGATATGAGTGCTTTAGTGCGACAATCCATATCATCTATCATCTGTCATGCCTTACCCCCGCTTCTGATGGCCGTGGCAGGGGGTGAATGGTTCTGCTCACAATGTATCGTGTATCGGTGCGCCTGTCGGGCGACGCTTAATGTTCATGTGGATTCAGGTAAAAGAAAGGCACCGCCGAGTAGGGATGAGAAGGCGAGTGCAACAAAGATGAAGCAGTAGGGCTATCTTGGTGGGCCATGGACTATATGTTATTTTGTATGTATCACCCAAAATGTCCATCAAGTACCGCACAGTTGTCAATATCGCTGTAACGCATTTCTTCGATTGGATCTATGCAGACTTTTTCAACCCTCTACGTTAGGGTTTATCTTTTTTTTTTTGCCCAACCTTATACCCCTTGAAACGAACCTGGATTTTACTCTTGCCAACCCCTGATGCCTTTCCGCACAACCCTCCACTCTCACCAACCAACCCTCGACGCAGCTCTCTCCTGGCCTAAGAGAATCATTTGTGCAACCCTTAACTCGACTCTTACTATTATCTCCTTCCGGTTCTATAAATCCTTGCAGGTATCTTTTGCCTTGCCTTTGCGTCTCTCCTGCTGTACAATGTTATACATGACTATATTCACCTTTTATCATCTGGTTCTGTTTATCTATCTTCCAAGTAAGGCATATTTCGCTACACTGGATGCAAGTAAATGTTGATAGCTGGATCCGGAAGACGGCTAGCTAATGATGGTTTATAGCCATTAGCTATTGCTGAAATCCTGTATGTTCGTGGGAGTAAGAGCAATGTACTACAGAATATCAAAAGGTACTATCATACCTGATACCAAAGTCGTGTATTTTTATGTTTCCCAACGGCGATCGCCTTTTGCTCGACATTTGAAGACCTATTCAAAACATTAATGTGCCTAATGAGATCATCATATGTCAAATGTTCTTTCAAGGCATCCAATTTGAGAGCCTTAATGAGTGCTCGCGTAAAAACCCCGTTGTATCCGTTCAGTCCCCTCCACTCCTTTGCGGGTTGATACCCTTGACATGCAGCTAGAACAACATGTGACTTCATATCAGGGACCCATTTTTCATCATACACAGACCCATGCTTCTGTAAATCTTTATCCGCAGCGTCAAACATATCTTTCAATGAAGGATACGGTAGAGGGGCGGCGTGGTGCTCAGCACTCAGATCTCTGGTGGTACCAGAGGAGTGGGGCCCCACATCAGGAACCGATTTTCCTTCAGAAGTAGATGGCGGTGGGTCGGCATGATACCAGGGTAAAGACCCAGAGGTACCCCTGGTGGCACCTGAGGAGTGACAGCAGTCAAGAATGACAGTGATATGACATCCCTTAGTGCCAGCAATTTCACTGAGAATGATATTTATCTCTCGATCGCTAATGTCGGGGATGACACCGACACCATTATCATGGGGAGTAGTGCGATCCACGGGGCACAATGCTATGTTGCTTCCGTACCATTCAAGAGTACCCTTGGGGAAATAGTCCCTATTAAGGTAGATTGAACCCTTTCCGGCAAAGTAGATGATAATATTGTCGCCTTTCCGTATCCGGTCGTCAGTAGATAAACCAAGAAGTGTTTTGATTATATTATCACGGGTGGGGATGGAGGAATCGTTGCCTTCGGAGTCAACGTTGGGATAGCTTTGTACGAAGTTTTCAGGGGAATGGATGTAGCCATCATTTGACTGAGAATACGGCGGTGAGCTGGCACCCAGAAGGTACTGAATATGATCTTCTGGGACACCGAGGTCTCCGATCAGATATTTGGCCATTTCCCTTGCATCTGATACACAACCGCGTAGTGGAGTGGTTGGATATGCGTCAATACCGATGAGAACGGCCCAAAATTGACGTTCATCTTTGAGGCGTAAGCGCTAAACCAATACTAATCAGTATTAACTTCTATGGTAACAGATAGACACTCAACCTGTCCTGATGACATTCTTTCTGAAGGAAGCTTTGGTGGTACGCTAACGTTGCTGGACAGCTTGGCATCCAACGAATCTTTTAATTTGCGCCAGAGCTCCTCTTCTGTTAAGTACGTATCCTTCTCGTACTTTTCCATGACATACATCCACTCTTTGTCATGCGTGACTACTATCTCGAGGGAAGGGTCCTATGAGGAATATTATGTATCAACATGAATTGTTGCTTATGGATAATTACCTTGCTCAACAGATATTCATTCATTACCATCGAAAGATTCAAGATCTGAATGTAAGACTGGTTTCAGTATGTACCGAAAATGGTCGACATAAATCTCACCCAGTTTCCCCCAGGTGGAAATTCAGATACTTCTACGGCAAACGACCCATGGGAGTCAGTGCTCTCTGCCATCATCCTTCTCTGATCTGAGTCCGAGTTGTTCGGTACCGTCTTGGAACCAATGAACGAGGAAAGATAAGTCGAAAATCCAGTCTTTCCATCGCTCGGCGGGAGAGGTGATGCCTTACTATTGAAAGAGGGAATCCTATCTCTGGAGGAACCTTCGATGGAATGAGTAACTGCCAGCCACGATTTTCGGAACAAGTTTTCTGAAAGCAAAATGGTAAAACCACGTGCAAATACACACTGGTTCTGAAGACCTATTGGATAAGGGTAGTGGGCGGAAGGAATCAGGAATAAGCCATTTTCCACTCCAGCATCATCGATCCACAATTTTGCAACTTTAACTGTTACCCCACCCACATTTGCCAATGTACACCTCAGAGAAAACGTGAATGACTGATCTGTCCTGCTGACGACTGCGTTCCCCCAAGTATTTGTTTTGTCACACCCAGTTATAAGATATAAAAAACCGTTTTGCACCTTCCGATGCAAGGTTCCGTTGACATGGTTGTACCATGATACTCCATATTGTCGGGCGTAGTCTTCGAAGAAGGCTTCGTTCACAGCCTCATACCTCACAGAATAATCTGGAAGGCACAAGATTGCTGCGGAAACATCTGAGGTACTAACATCGAAGGACATGCCAGCATCCACAGTGCTATCATCAAGATAAGAAAATGAAATAATGAATATGAACATCTACACACCTGGGTAAACCTTGAGCAGAAGCATCTACTGAAACCTCTCTGCAGGATACATGTTCACTTTTAAGAACATTCCCATGCGCCGGATAAACTTGTACATCTCGTTGGTCGGATACAGAGGCCGGCTGAAAGCTTTCAGGTGCATTTCCGACGACCTGGCCGTTAGCATTCCTGAAGATGCTGAAGAGAAAGTCGAAGCCTCCATGTTTGTTAATGATTCCGACATCTCCAGGATGTATGCCTCTTTCCTTGACCTCATCCAGTGCGATAGGATCTGGCTCTGGATACCAAAATGGATAGCCATGGCCTTTGTGGATAAGCTCCCTGGTGTAGAGGACGTGGGGGGGTGGATCAGGCATGGTTGTGGGATCAAATTTTAATTCAACTAGCATGTGCTGTTTTCAGAGGAGTTTATAGATGTAGGAAGACACCGAATGATGAAATGCTTCCGATGCTGTAGATGTATGCTGTAGAGGTACAATAGCGTGATGAATCGAAGGTCCGAATAGATGCCAGACATCTATTTCCCAGGCCGATTTCCCTGCGCTCTTGGCGACATATCTTTAGATTTCATAGACCCTGCTCGCGACATCGAGTCCGAAGGATTGGCGTCTTATTGATTCCCTTCTTCAATTATAAAGAAAGTAGCTCATGGGAGCTCAGTTCGGAGGCACCAATGGATATGTATGGAACATCGCAGTTAGTCTCGAGCTTTAGTCTCTTGGCCTAAACCCAGAACCAGCAGCTTAGACGCTGTGTTGTACAAGCGAGTAAGTCCTCATGCTGTATCATTGCACGGTACTCGCCTGTGGAATATTGATGACCCTGTGGCTGTGCGAGCTGGCGCGATGTCCAGTTAGCCCGAGTTTTGCTGAGTAAGGATTTACTAAGAGAAAGAAAGTACTAGAAGATATAAAATGGTATTTAAGTAGCTAGAATTCGTAGTGTTCTGTACTCGTTTGCCTTCTAAGCAAACATGGACTGCTCTTTCCTAACTCACTAGGCAAACGTGCCTGAACACACGGTGCGCGTGTTATACAACATCGCCTGCATCTTTATCATCAGTTATTAATGTACCATATACAACTGCATCCAGAATGGTAGTCTTGTCCATTTACTGTACCTCGGTTCTTGGTTGGCTAAGAGTTTCGAAAATGATAGTTATTGAATAAAATATTCAGCGCTTTGCACATTGAATCCGGCGTTTATGTCTCCTCACGTGATAGCATCCTAACTATACCTCAAGAGCATCTCCGCATGCGAAGACGTCACCGAGCGTTATCGTTGTACTTGAGCATGATGTATCTGCTCTCGAATGGTCATAAGTTCTGGCTGAGGATTGAAAAAAGGGTATCAGTCTATCACCTGAACGGCTGTGCCGTCCTGGGACAGGTACTCGCTGTGATCAATAATCACTGCATCGCAGATGGACATAACGACGCCGAGTCTGATGGAACCGGCAAATTTCAATACCATAATTTCCGTGTAATGCTCCCATAGACCAACGGTAAGCGTCTTTCTCGTCGTCTTGTGATACTGGTGCTCTTGCAACGGCAATGAACGAGACAGTTACGGTACCTGCGGATGAATCGTCGATAGGAATCAAGAAGATCGCACAGCAGTGGGGAATGGTGCGTTTGCGAGAAGTCCGTTTCACACAGGATCCTTGCAAATGCTGTTAGTTCCTGCACCGAGATGAGTAAAAATAGCTACTAACACTGCATTTACCTACAACCTACAGCCCATACACGTAAACAATAAGGCAAAGATGATCATCTGAACCCCGAGATGTTGGCCACGAGGATGGTGGGCATGCATTCTTTGTATCGCACCCTACCGAGGAGATGGACAGCATAGTACTCATGCAAGCAAAGTAAACGTCGTTTGCTCCTGGGTCGGGTGAGGAGCGATGCCGAGACGTTATTCTCGTGCTTCTGTTGTAGAAATGAACGTAGATACGGTCAATATAGAAGCTAAGCATGCAGCCTACCTAAACTGTCATTACTACCATGCTGGTAGAAATTCTTTGCGACCCAACTCCGTGTGCAGTTTCAATATAACCTGAGCACCTATGAACAAGGAGCAGGCCATGAACGAAAGAGTTATTTACCAATACCGTTATAGACCCTCCAGGAACGTCTCCAGCTCACTCTCAAAGATATTGTCATCTTTCGATGAGAAGTCAAGGTATAAAATAACTCGTGGGCGCAAATTTTCCACGCAATGTTCATCTTTGTTTTCGTGACCGAGGACGGTGTCCTGACAAATGTAGATATTCGTCAGTAGTGATAGTACTGGATATAATATGATTGGATTATTATTGCAATTTGAGCTGCGATAATTCGCGTTCAGTGAAATTAGCCTCGTCAATTATGACAAGAAACATACATGGCGATCCTCTATGCGACAGTGGGATCATACAGGCAACCTCTCGGGTGTCTGGGATGTTGGTGGTGTGGCTGGTTCGACATATCGAAACGAAGGTGCTGGCAGGGAGACGGAGGACACCCGAGTTGGAATCTTGGTCCCATCCGTATGTATCCTTGTGTTCACTTCCGGACTTGTGGATCAATAATCCTGCATACGACGACAAGATGTTTTACCACAAGGTCTAGTCAACTCTAGCAAGGACCCTCACCGTCGTAAGGGTCATGCTGCTTAATTTATTCGATGCTACGATTATAACCTAGGGCAATCGTATTAGCCAGGATCAGTCTCAGGGATCAATCAGGGATAGGGAATACCTTCGCCGAGGAAGCCGAAGAACGCACTCTTTTACCTCTCATCTTCGACTACATTCACAAATTCTCCATCACAGGGCATTTGTCGCTCGAAGATAACACTCAGCTGGCCCCCCAATTTCGGAATGAAGACTCGTGCCAGGTCGATGCGGGAGAATTTCGGATGAAAGGGCATTAGAAATTCGAAGCGAGATTGAATATGATATTGACCAGTGACTAGTGACTAGTGAAGTTTGAAGCGGGGAGCGAAATAAAGGTTACGAGGAAACCCTTGATCGAAACAGATCGAAGCAGCTAATGACGTTCTGCCCTGAACAACACGTGTGCACGGGCCCGCTACGTGATTCGGACCCGAAGTATTTGGCGTCCAAAGAACCAAATAAAACGTGCTTCTTTCCTTTTTGCCTCCATGTTACTCATGCTACTGTGACTTCTCTCTCTTGAAAACTTCCGACCGGCTTATGAAGAGAACGAACCACGGTACCCAGTTTGTGAAGAGAGCAACTAGGCCAATCTGCTGTAACCAACTTCCTGCGCTCCGCCTTTCCACTGGTTTTCCTTGACGACCAATACGGCGACATCCACGTCACTATGAGCTGACTGGGTGTCGAATTCTTCGTCGAGCCGGTGTACTGCTTTCCCACCGGGATGGAACACTCACGGAGGACGACCAGGGCAGGGCAGAAGTGCAGGGCATTAAGAAGGCTCTCGCGCATGGCGGGACAACGCACTGATCACAGGCAAGACCCACCTCTTTCCACACGTCGAGGGGTGCACGTTCCTGGTCATCATAGCTACTGTGACGCGCCCTCCATGTTGATTTGGTCGAGTTGTGCTGTAGGGATGGACATGGTGGCAGTATCTTGATGATAAACGAAGGACAGGAGGGATTCAGTTTTTGAGGTGTGGCTCAGTGAACCGTACGGCGAGTGGTTAGGGGTTAAAAGGTACGTGCACTGTTGTCAAGTCGTTCATTTTATGTAGCTCATATTATTCTTGCAGGATGTTCAGCATCCATGTCGAGTTCAATTCGATGGAATTCGACCTGGCGTCCCTGTATGTAAGTTTTGCTCCTCTGATGTACCTTCATCGCTTTGACGACCATATGTAGACATTTCCCGTATTATCAAGCACAGATCAATGAACCCGACTAGGGAGTCAGTCACCGGACGCTATTGTTCACCCACGTTTATCAGTGGTTCGTCTCTCCTACCCAAAGGAAATTACACCGTAAGATTCGTGATTTATTCTCTCCCTCAATCCATGATGCATTCATAGATCATTGCAAAGTGCTACGAACGCTAAATTTGTCCTTGTTCAAGAATGAGTTGTCGCCGGTTGTCAACGGTACGTCGCCGGCGCTCCGTAAGAAGCTAGCTAAATTGTCTCAAGGTATACAATGTCTAGCCACGAAACCTTTTACACGCCTACATCAGATATCGCTTCCCTGTTCGCCCTACTAGTTTCGATGTCAGCGGCATCGGAAAAGCCTCATCCTTCACCTCGAATCGGAAACCACCACCTCTGCCCACACGTCGACAACTCCAGTCCCATGGGCTAAATGCGACTCTTTGCGTGCACTAACTCTACCCCCTCCCGCTGGACGTGCTCTATTAATATTCCACCAGTTGGAACGAGGCTCCACGTCGTTCAAAATTCAGACAACGCTCGCTCCCGTGGATGTTCGTGCAGCAAGGCTTGACCTTATTGCACGTATGCCGACGCTGTGGTCTACAGTGTGCATAAGCTGTTCGTACGCTGTGTTTGCATCGGAGTCTGGCTCTGCCGTACCGCCATTTGAAGACCATTTCAACATACCTTGCGCTCGAGACTCGATCTGCGCGTCTTCTTGACCCCGCTCGCCTCTCTCCGCTCTTCGGGTGCCATCGCCTCAAAAAAGGTCGACTCTACAACACACCTTTTTATGTGTTCCCCTCCTTCCGCCGCCTCAAATAAGTGTTCATGGACTCAACACAGTTTCTTACCTTTTGCGATGACGCTAGTCGTCCTCTTTGAGTCAGTCACAACCTCCTTGGTTCAGACTCAAGATAGCTCCTTGACCGCTTTCTCACGAATGTACCCGGATCTTCGCGTACATATCCTTCCCTGTGGATGTTGCCCTCACACCCCGTTATAATCAGAGCTACGGACGTTGATATCCTGGACAACCTTCACTGCCAGCGTCGGCAAACGTTTGTCTTGAACGACTGCTACACAAGCATCCGTTCTCTGAACAGACCCCTCTTATATCCCATCAACCACTTTTGGAGGGGAGAGCGTTTACGGGGTGCTCGATCCGATTCATCTGTCCCGCCTTCAGGATTCGCGTATCACGCATAGGACCAACTGGTTCGCGGGTAGGTCGAGGATAGTCAAGGGCGAAGAATGCCCTGAGGAATCCGGTCTTCAGATTGCGCAGATTCCGAAGGAGAGTTTTTGCCAGATGTCGCGAGCGGACTGATATGGAGTGGATAAGGGCATCATGTGGCAATTTTGTGGTTTCTTTTGTAGGATTTTTCGTTCGAACGATGTACCGATGAATCAAGAAATAGAGCAAAGCACCGCAGTTGCGGACCGTCTTTTCCGGGTCGGACCGAGCCGTAGCGCAAGCAAGGACGCGCCTTTCTCTCTGACCGCCATTACCTTTGTTCTCTCACTCTCCGTGTACTATTTCTCCACAAATCAGCGCATATATGAAAGGCGACAATTATCTAGATTTTTCTCCACTCACAGATAAACGTGTGAGGACGCCCGCTTCAGCTGATCGCCGGGATATCTTTGAGCGTCGATCTAGGGCAGGCTGGTTGATGATGAACTGTTTGTTATCCATTTGGATGACCCAGGCGCTAGTCCGCACAGATTACTTCTGACCACGACGATAGCACGTTTGGTGATACCACAGCTTGCAAGTTGGTACCAACCTACGTTGTCTCTGTCCATCTCTATGTGTAGTTCGATCCTTGGTATCCTCATTCAGCCACCGCTAGGACGAAAATACCCGGATGCAAGGGAAGGGATGGTTGGTCGAGGAGTCCCTGTCTGGATGATGCTAGTAAGCGCTTCTGGTCACACGGAAGGCAAGGACTAATGTGTTACAGAACGTACCGTGTTTCTTCTCGCCGATACCGTCGGCTAAGCAGAACAGCCATTCTAGTTTCGATTTAACGGTCTTACGCTGGTAGAGGGCCAGTCAGACAATCCGCTCAGGTCAATGCTCCCCGCATTAACCTTCGTATTGATGGAGTCGTAAAGGCACTCAATGGCACACTTGACGCGCCATATACTCCAGACGACTCGACTCTCGAATCCTTCATCTCACAAAATTACGACTTTAGCTCTAGTACGCTGATTTCCGTTCCTATTACCATGCACATACACGAAGCTCGGGACTTGGGCCTGGACCGGGAGATGCAACAAAAAATGATCATCAATAACAGCATCTCCGACAGAAATATTCCACCTCGACACATTTGAATCCGTATGCTAACTGGGTGGTACCACTCTGGGTTACCAGGAAACGCCATGGGCAATTCGTCAGATATCCATGCATGTGATATTGCCAATATCACATGCGTGGATATCTTGTGAGGAGCCCATGGGTTTCTGGATGCCCATCAGTGGATGTGAATGGCATGGGGTGAGCGCTAGTGTTGATCCCGAACTGATCCCTAAAGATACGAGCCCTGGTCTCATCCGGATCGAGAGGTTGAACATGGGTGCAGAGTACGTGGGGCGAGATGTTCTGTATTTAAAGTAATCAGATAGGCTGAGGAAGGATGTATGCACAGGAGAGCGGAAGGTCGAGGTGCTCACTATCGCAATCGGATCCAGCGCAAAGCCGGCCCCGGGTACATCGGTTTCATGGGAAAGTTCACTTTCCTTTCGCTCCTTGTGCAGGGAACAGCGCGTGCCTACCAAGCCTTTGAAAAAAAGCTGCCATGTTCCCTACTGGCCACTATCGAGGGAATCCCAGAAGATTGTTAGCACCAGACCCGCTGTAACGATGCAATCCTTGGACGACGGAAATGGCATCACCAATGGCGATTCTATTATAGCGGGAAACAAGACGGTGTTCGATATCGTGTATGAACCTTCAACCCACGTTGGTGAAGGATATGTGGGCTGGTAAACTAGGCGGCTATTGTCAGGACAGCAGCATTTGATTGCGCTGGATGAGAAGAGGGGTACGTGTTCTTGTCTTCGAACCCTTCCTTTCTTCGCTACCATGTTCGACGTTGTGCTTTTCACCTATAGTGTCGGATGTTCGTCTCTTTACTTTTCAAGACCTTCGGGTCTCTTTCTACCTCGCTGACTGTTGTTCATGGTACCGATTACAATGGGTACTGTAGTCCTTCTGTTCGTAGATGAGGGTTAGGACGAGCGGGATTTCATACTGCCACTTGCAGCGGTTCAAGTACACTTTGCTTGTACATACGACATCCCTATTCCCTCGAAGCCGAGACTTACCTTTTCTCGGATCTTGTTCTTGAACAATAACGCTCTTTTCAAAAATAAGATACCTCATCCCGATATAAAAGACTTCTTCCTAGCTAGTATGTATTGGCTCTCTCGTGCGTTCTTGTCTGATCCATTTTTAGGATTTTGACGGTGACGGTTGGTGATATCCGTGCACGTCGCGATGGTGCTGTAGGGACGGATGTGTGTTGACGGTATCTAGAAGGTGAACGAACGATGGAAAGGAGAAGTACATGAATTTTTGTCAAGTCAGTAGTTTAGCGCACCTCACACTTCCTCAGTACTCACGACGGTGGACAAAGTAACGGAACATTAATCTCAGCATGTTGGTAAAAGCTGAGATGTGAGGCTGTGCGTCGCAAACGAAAAGGCAAGAAAAATCAAATACATAGTCCGTGTGCGTCTTGTACTACTACTATGTCTAACACGAAATAGCCTCCTATGCTGCTAATGTCATTGCCACCTCCCTTTCCTGACCTGTTCACCCAGTTGGCAAAATCACCACGGCGGACGTAACGCTTGAAATGATCCCATCATCAACCTTATCCAATCCCGACATCCGTAGGCCCGAATAAGAAATCCCGAGTCTTTGCAGACGCTAATTCTGCTGCCTCCGACTGGAAGTACTTATCCATCGAATTGGAACGAGGCTTCATGGTGTTCAATTGCCATACAGCACTCATTCTCATGGGTGTGTGCGCGTCTCATATGGTTAGGATTCTGGAGCATGCTCGGGAGTCTAGATGGCATCTTTCATATCATCCCTGTGTAATCAGTCGTTCCAACATTTGGAGACTCTGTTCTTGCAGGCTTTCCTTGCTGGAGAAGTTTGATTTACGGATCTTCCTGACTCTTCCTGCCTTCTCCGTACCCTCAGCATTGGTTGACTCCACAACCATACCCTTTAGCACGTTCTACTCCCTCCGTTGCCTCGGATGCGCGATCAACGGCTCTACCCAGTTTATAACCCTCCACGACGACCCCAATTAACTCACCTCTTCGAGTCGACTGTCGGAGTTTATTCTGTAACAACCCACCCAGTTCAGATATACCAAGCAAACTCCTGGAACGCTATCTTTGCACTGAAGTATTCGTACCCGAGCATACATCTTCTTCCTACTGCTTCAATCTCTCAGTCTTAGTCTCTCACACCTCGTCATCATCCCGGCTACAGACGTTGTTGTATCAATGCATCACGTCCGGAGCGACCATCAGTCCGTGTCTGCACATGGTCATCTAGGCGGCACGCTCGATTTAAGACATCACTTGCTTCCCCCTAGCTACAAGCAATGGAAGAATGTACGAATGCATTCGACTCCGCCTTCTTCCCCATCTCGGGTTCCTGAGGATTACACGCAAGACAAAAAGGATGCTCAGGATGGTCAAGATGAGGAATGATTCACGGAACTTTGATATCAGGACGCGGTACTGATAGAAGCTGAGGCCGCAGTTTCGGAAGAAGCTTTTGTGTGGGTTGACGTTAGCAGTTTACTCCCATATCTATATCACCCATCGAGGTCATAAATCCATTTCGGATGGCCTGGTAACCAAAGCATGAGGTAGGATATATCCGTTTCTGGGACGAGGATGGTTCGCACGTTACCATCCTGCACTGAGCTGCTTTCTCCTCCTGTACATCAACTTGAGCTTGGCATTAATGCCCTACATTCGAATCGTACAGAGACCTCGATATGGCGGAGCCTGTCTCCTGATATCCGGATTTCGAGACATGATACATCCGTCTAAAACGGAAAGCTTGCCTCGTTCAAACGTAGGTAGCCAGAATATAATGATGAGAGGACAAAGCGGGGAGTGAGAAAACCGACCAGGAAGTGCTGTATTTTAAGAAAAGGAACTATAGATCATCAGAACACGACACCAATATGGTACAAGTTGGAGAACGTATTCATCATGGAGTGTCCGTAGAAGTTTGCCAACGAATCGTTCGACCCTATATACGGGACCAAGGTCTCCGGTTACGGCTTGAAAACAACTACCCTTGTTTTCGACACGAACTCTGAAAAAATGTTGACGGGGTACATGTTGACGGGCACGTAGAATTTTGCGAGCACACTTGCGAGCATGCGTTCGCGTTCTCTCGCATGCGTTGTCACACTTGCGTTTGCGTTTGCGAGCGTGACAAATAACTGTCTCGGAATTTCTTGTCTGTAAATACTGGTGGGAGTTAGCCAGTGTTTATAGATGAAGATAATACAATACCCTTTTCCGAAGATTAGAACATCGAAGGTTCTTTTGAGGTAATACCTCCTCAAAGTTCAAAGTTCAAAATCAAGAGCCAAAATATTGAGTTCCGGAGTAATTTTTCAACTCGAAATATCTAGTAAATCAATAATACATTCCAGAAGTGGCCCAATGTAGAGTATAATCCAAAGAAAACTGAGGTACGGTGCGGACAGACTCACAGGACGGAGTTCAAGACAGCCCGAAGAAGTGAACCCAAACAGTGGCTGCTGGCCAGAGAAGGTTAAGTTAAATCCCGTAAGTATCATAAAACTATCAAACGAACCAAGATATAATGACTGGAAGCCGATACCGCAGAAATATCAGAAGTGACCAACAGTTAAGACGGTTCAACTCGAGTCGAACGCAAATGTTACACGCTGTCACACCTTCGTCACACTTGCGAGCCAATTGCGAGCCGCCACTGCTCGCTTGCGTTTAATTTCCAATCGCATGCGTTATTTTCAAGAACGCATGCGTGCATCTACTTAGGGCTTGCGTTCGACTTTGGGATGCATGCGTGACGTTTTTGTGAGATGCATAAGCAAGGTTTATTCGTTTGAGAACCTGTTCATCCCGCCAAATTCAAAAAAAAGGTCAGATTTCTTTGGATTTCTTAGTCATTTTGAAGTGAAATGTCGCTGTGATGGAGGGTGCTCATTTTTTAGCCAAAACCAATACCTGTCTAGCATTTTCATGCTATTCAACGGCTTTCCTGAGTCATAGTAAGGGACAGTAGCCTGGTGGGATATATCCAGAAACTCGAAAACAGTAAGTAAATGTTCGAGATAAGACACACTTTACTAGTGTCTTTAAAACAGAACTAAGTATTTGTATGCCACGCAAACAAAGGTATCCATATGCGCGCAAATGCATGCAAGTTAGACGCAAGCGAACACAGTTCAACTTGAGTTCAACGCAAATGAACGCAGTTGAACGCAAGCTCGCAAGTGTCGCTCGCAAAATTCTCCTGGCCCCATGTTGACTAAGTTCCTCCGAAAAAACTCATCATTTCTGGGAGAAATCTCCGTCGAGAACATGCATCATGTCTAAGTGATTGGTCATGATGCTTTATCTGCCGTCTTCAGTCTAATGGATCTTCGGAAGTGCGGCCAATAGCGAGCTGTTGCATATGCACACTTGGATGGTCCGGGCGCTCATCTCCACAACTTGCTTCTTACCACGAGAACAGCATGAGTTGGACCTCTGGTGCGACCACAGCTTGGTATCAACATACATCGTCTCCGAACAACGGTATGTGTGGCTGTCTGACCTTTGATCCCTCGTATCCTCATTCTGCTACGGCTAGAAATAATACCCCCGATAGGAAGAGACAAACAGCTCGTTGCATTGAATAAGATGCAAAAAGTGGTAAGCACCTCAATGTATGCACAGAAAGGCAATGAATAACAGCACACCAAACACGTCTCCAGTATGAGAATTTCCCCGAGGTCACACTCACCGCCTTCGACGAGACCGGCAAAGTAGAATCAACCATTCCAGTGCCGTTGCAACGGACCTACACTGGCAGAAAGCCTGCCATACGATCTGATCTGGCTGACAAATTCTGCGCCAGTCTTAAAATAAAAGATGTGTTGAAGGAGCTCAATGAGGCACTCCACACGTCATATACTCTCGACAACCCCATCTTGCACTCCGTTCTTGAATCCTCCATCTTAGAATATGTCGACTTTGGCACTCTCTACGCTCACTTGCGCCCGTATTGGTATGACTTGACCACTGTCAAATCCATCCGCGAAGCATCTCGGAGTCGAGATCTGGAAATGCGAAACACTATGGTCACCAATAAGAGGATCGCCGACGGAAATATTCCACCACGGCGTGTTTGGGATCTGTGTGCTAATCGGGTGGTACCATTCTGGGTGGCCTCTCGTCGGCCGTGGGCGATATCACACTCGTGGGTGTCTGATGAGGAGCGCGAGGATGTGCCGACGCCCATCAATGGATGTGAATGGCCGGTCCCGATGCCGAAAGATGCGGACCTTAACCTCATCAGGATCCAGATGTTGAACAGCGGAGCTGAGTATGTGTGGTTAGACGTTCTGTGTTTGAGGCAAGAGGGAGGATCTGCGCACGAAAGAGTGGGAGATCGACGTTCCCACCATCGGAGCTATCTATCGCAATACCATCCGGACAGTGCATTATTACCTTAACGGGCTGGGTCGGCCATTCATTTTGAAGCCAGGGTACTTCGAAAATGAACGGTGTTGGTTCAAGCGTGCGTGGACACTACAGGAGATGGGCAAAAGTAGCATGTACGCCACGCCGACCGTCGATGACTCGGAAGACGAATATTTAAAAAGGATGTTCGAGGAAAAAATACGTTCATTGCCTCTTTCCCCGCCACAAAATGTATTTGACGTCCTATCGGAGATGGACAAACGGAAGTCAAGAAAGCCTTTGGATAAAGTAGCGGGCTTGGCATACCTTCTCTGCGCAAAGTCTATCCCCGTATACGATGAGACACAATCTGAAAAGGCTGAGGAAGCTTGGGAAGCGCTCGTGTCGGTGATGGCTGAGAATTATCTCGCGCAATTGCTCTTCTTATACCCTGAGCCTGGGGATGGAGGGAAATTTTGGCGGCCGTCATGGAAACAGGCGACAGCGGCGCGTTTGCCTTATAACTACTTTGATTTGAAGCCTGGGTTCCTGCAGACAGAGGGGACAGATACTGACTGGTGTCTGTGTACCTGTATCAAGTCAGGCAATGTACGAGGATTGGCCAAGGCATCAAACGAAGGGATACCCCGACAGGGCGAGTTGGTGGTTAAAGACGACAGCGGGGCACTCCATATAATCAAGATCTTCGCCGATCATAAATACCCGATACTCGATGGCTCGTATACATTGATAGGCGAAGGATTTCTGCCCTGGAGATCCGTAACGAACTTGAACTTTTTAAGATATTGGGTAGTCGGGCGGCAACAATCGCGTGGGAAGTTTGAAAAAATATCGGTGATCCAAATGGCAGATGTTGACGAACGTTCCAAGCTTGATAGACTTCACGTCGCGCAGCACAACGTTCAAGTATTTCTTTGCTGATTTAATGCAGTCAGTAGCTTGCTTAGTAGAATTAACGGCGGGGAGGCAGGAGGAAGAGCAGGGCCAGGACGTCGTTTATACTTAGAAATCATCCTAATAGTCTTAATTTGTTATGGCAACCAGCCTTTCACCGCTAGCGGCGGGGACAGGGCCATATTCCATGTACCTCCGCGAATTGTTGCATGAGTGAATGTCTGTGAAAAGAGAACGCCAGCGTGCACTCACGAATTTCTATGTAACCCGTACTACGAATTTCTGTCGGCACTCTGTGGATTCACGGAATGATATGGACCTTCGTTATTTTCTTGTTTAACCGCGTAACGGTCGTCCTTGTTCCTTCAATCGATGGGGACTGTATTCTTCAAAGCGGTCGGCATGGCGAGGCTACAGTCGGAGGATCGGATGGCTGGATACTATGTCCCTGGGAAAAAAAAATTTTCGAAATTTAGAGCCGGAATGAGGATATGTTTCATTCTCGGAAGTGAGTTATGTACCAGTGAACGCCCAATATGATGCATGAAGATTCAAATATTCACCCGTAGTGTCACTGCTGGTATGAGTTCGCACACAGGGTAACTGACAAGGGAAAACCTGCCCACGCCGCCTAACCATTTCGCTACGACAGGGGATGAACGTGGGGAGCAACCTTTCAGGTCCAAAGGCGGTGACGAGCTGGGTTTATGGAAAATACTTTCACGGAAACCAAGAAGCGTCGAGAGAGAAGCATGGTGAAAACATTGGAGCTATATTAACAGAAACTGTAGAACAAGAGCGCTAGCAGGTGGATGGTGGTGGGAAGTAAAGATGCGTCTGTCTCTGCGTCACTTTGTCTGGATGGCCGGGCGGACTCGGAACCCGCACGTGAGCAGCAGGTTTCGGTGAACTGCAGTCATGATCGTAGGTAACAAATGCGATTAGCCTCCATTCATAAATCTTCGAGTCTTCTGATAGCTACACTGCCGATTTCCAAACGAAGACTCGTGTCGGGTTCATGGTGTATACTTTCCGTTGAAGAAATTTACGGGGATGCGGCAAAGAGAAGTAAAGTTGGGAGCGTAATAGAAATTAGGAGAAAGCCCTGGATCGTATTGAAGGCACCCCAGACACCATGTGCGCACGGGCCCGTCACGCGCTTTGTTTGGCACCCAGGGAAACAAACAAAGCGCGCTTCTTCCTTTTCGCCTCCATGACCATCAGTGCTGCAGCGACGCCAACGTTCTCTTGAAGACCACCGACAGGTTCATGAACTGAATGAACTGCGGTATTCAGCTTTCAAAGAGAGAAGTAGCGTGGAACAGCGAAGCAGCAGGCCGTTCATTTCTCCGACCCAAAGGACCTTACACCGTATGACGCTTCGTTTCTTCTGCCCTCCAGTCACTGATGCATAATACATAGATAACTACCAAGTGCTGGGAACGCTTAATTTGGCCTTGTTAAAAATTTGTTATCACCGGTTTCTCCATTGTATGTCGCGAGGATTGTGTAAAGCGCCAGCTAAAATAATCTTAGGTCTATAATGTCCAGCTACGAATCATATTACACCCCTAAAGTCGACATCGCCTACCTCTTGCGCACATGGGGCTCACCTAGCTCTTTCGATAAAACCACGATGGACCACGTAACGCTCGATATAAACAACATCAACAACTCCATCCAATCCAGACTGGACCGTATCCTCCAGCTCGAATCGGAAATCTCCCGCCTCCGCACTGAAGTCGACTGTTCCAGACTCTCACTCCGGAAATACGACTTTTTGCACGCGCCAATCCGCCGCCTTCCACCAGAACTGCTCCTGTTAATATTCCGCGAATTGGAGTTAGACGGCTTATCGTTCAAAAATAGGACACCACTCGTTCTCATGGGTGTCTGTGCATCATGGCGTCACCTTGTTGCCGGTACCCCGACACTGTGGTCCACGATGAGGATGGGCTGTTCCTATGGTTGGGATTTGCATCGGAGTCTATCCGGGAGCCTAGACGTGTCGCGTACATCATCCCTGCTCGCTTTGACCCTCCAGTATTCGAAGGCTGCGCCCTTGGATATCATCCTGCATTCTGGGGGGGAGAGCTCCCGTGTTGAAGGCCTAACAAATCTATTGAAGCAGCATTCCTCGAGATGGCGTTCTCTTAACACCGATAATGGCAGGTTTATCCCGGCGAACCTCCCTGCGCTGGAGATGCTCGTGTTACGGGACTTCTCAACACTGTCTTCATCTCTCCAGGCACCTCGCCTACATACCCTTCGTATCGGCGCACTCTACGACATACCTTTTAGTTCCTTCCCTTCCCTCCGCCATCTAGAATGCACCATCGACGACTCTATCTAACTCATCACCCTTCTCAAACACGCCAACCAGCTCACGTCTCTTCGAGTCCGCTGTCGACGCGGTTCTGTCATCGGCGAGCTATCCAATACAAGCATAACCAGCAACCTGCTTGAGCTCGATCTCCCAACCCAAATACTCGAGATCCTCGCGTATATCTCCTTTCCTGTGCTTCACACGCTCAAACTGGGTTGCGGATCCCGTGATCATCGCCCCGTCTATAGCCCAAGCGACGTCGATATCCTCAACCACCTTCACTGTCCACATCTGGGCACGCTGATCTTCCGAGATGCAGTCCGCATCATGTCGTTCGCCAGACTGCTCTCGTACCCCATTGCTTGCTTAGACCTAGTGGTAACCGACAAGAGCCTGTACGATGCGCTGGGTTCGACGATTCTTCCCTGTCTGGAAGACTTGCGTGTCACACACTGTGTGAAAGCGTTTGAGGGGTTGTTGAGGATGGTTAGGAGGACGAAAGAGAAAAGGTTGAGGAATTTGGATGTTAGGTCGTGGTACTACAAAGAGATAAGGAAGCTGTTTCGGGAGGAGGATTTTCATGGGCTGAGGACGAGGTTTCGTGCCATGCCATGTAGAGACTGACGTAGGATGGTTCGGCGTTCTCGCAGTTTCTTTTGTAACATATCGTTGTGCTAAGTATTCGCATTGAGACTCTCGATGTAGATAATTGATATGTTCCGTTTCAGAATTGCCTGGAGGAATCGAACAGCGTATGCTTTATAGGCTGAAATCGACACCAAGGAAGTCGGCTCTATTTCTTTCTTGGCTACCTCTCGGCTGCATCGGCGCTTAATTATGCTTGAAAAGCGTGGCCATCTTTTTGCTTACATTGTCTGATGCGTAGTCTCTCATAGACAGACAGTCATACGCTTCTGTTGATGAGAGGAAATGACGGTATGTATTTACAATTATTTGACATCACTGCGTCTATATAATGGCTGGGCTTCTCCATCTTAGTCCGTTAATCAAATCACCATGCAAAACCGACCTACCGATTCTTCTCATATCGCCCAATTGGCATACCGCCTTCGAGAGAGCATCACATCTTCTCAAAGACATAAACTGCTTCTCCCCATAATATCTTCCGCCTCCGCCATCCAAGAGAAGAAGGACCCAGGACTACTGTCATATATAACTAAATCATTCCCGCGTGTCGTCTTCGTCGAACCAAACGATCGGTTCCCCCTAGGCTCCCTAAATTCTAATATCCGCATCGATGCACGAATCACTTCAGCCCTGGAACGAGGCTCCCCGGGGACGCGTTTCCTTGCCATGGTTCTGCTTGTTCATGGGCTAGCGCACGTCATCGGAAAGAAGTATCACCTGGGTGATCGGCAGCTTTCGTATGGGCCAGGAGAATTTTGCGAACGACACTTGCGAGCTTGCGTTCAACTGCGTTCATTTGCGTTGAACTCAAGTTGAACTGTGTTCGCTTGCGTCTAACTTGCATGCATTTGCGCGCATATGGATACCTTTGTTTGCGTGGCATACAAATACTTAGTTCTGTTTTAAAGACACTAGTAAAGTGTGTCTTATCTCGAACATTTACTTACTGTTTTCGAGTTTCTGGATATATCCCACCAGGCTACTGTCCCTTACTATGACTCAGGAAAGCCGTTGAATAGCATGAAAATGCTAGACAGGTATTGGTTTTGGCTAAAAAATGAGCACCCTCCATCACAGCGACATTTCACTTCAAAATGACTAAGAAATCCAAAGAAATCTGACCTTTTTTTTGAATTTGGCGGGATGAACAGGTTCTCAAACGAATAAACCTTGCTTATGCATCTCACAAAAACGTCACGCATGCATCCCAAAGTCGAACGCAAGCCCTAAGTAGATGCACGCATGCGTTCTTGAAAATAACGCATGCGATTGGAAATTAAACGCAAGCGAGCAGTGGCGGCTCGCAATTGGCTCGCAAGTGTGACGAAGGTGTGACAGCGTGTAACATTTGCGTTCGACTCGAGTTGAACCGTCTTAACTGTTGGTCACTTCTGATATTTCTGCGGTATCGGCTTCCAGTCATTATATCTTGGTTCGTTTGATAGTTTTATGATACTTACGGGATTTAACTTAACCTTCTCTGGCCAGCAGCCACTGTTTGGGTTCACTTCTTCGGGCTGTCTTGAACTCCGTCCTGTGAGTCTGTCCGCACCGTACCTCAGTTTTCTTTGGATTATACTCTACATTGGGCCACTTCTGGAATGTATTATTGATTTACTAGATATTTCGAGTTGAAAAATTACTCCGGAACTCAATATTTTGGCTCTTGATTTTGAACTTTGAACTTTGAGGAGGTATTACCTCAAAAGAACCTTCGATGTTCTAATCTTCGGAAAAGGGTATTGTATTATCTTCATCTATAAACACTGGCTAACTCCCACCAGTATTTACAGACAAGAAATTCCGAGACAGTTATTTGTCACGCTCGCAAACGCAAACGCAAGTGTGACAACGCATGCGAGAGAACGCGAACGCATGCTCGCAAGTGTGCTCGCAAAATTCTACGTGCCCCTTTCGTATTGCTTTGTGCAACTCAAGGTTACGGAAGATTCCCTAGCCGACTATGGATATCAGTTGGAAACGGCCGTCTTTGGTGGAATAATTGGCGTGGTATTTCTGAATGGTACTGCCACAGATCCTCAGCTCCCTGATATCGCGTATTTCACAAGCCGGCCTCCCTCGGGAAAGATATACAGGCTTGGTATACTACTCTATTGTGTCTGTTGCACCTTCACTGAACCTAAATTTGCACAGACATCGAGCGCGTGGAATCTTGGAACTTTGGGGGCGACGACAGCGAATTCGCTCCCTTCCTTATTGAAGACCTTGACGAGTTGCAGATGTCATTCAATGATTTCCTCCCGTGTACTTGTGCGGTAGTGAATGCGTCATACGCGACTGTCAACATCCCACCTGACAGGCTCCGATATGAACCGCGTAGGATTGGCGATATGTTGATAGTCCCTCCTAAACGTTGTATGCGTTAAATTTCCGTAATTAACACACCTAATTTGGATATAGACACGATTCGATAAATCATTGTACTCGATATCGCAGTGAGGAAACGGAAGGACATTCAGGAGCAACGATTGATTTTGATCAAGGTAGGCAGCGAGCATGAATTCCGGTAAGTATTCGGCAAAAGTCAGACTCACAACCTGGTTGTGAACAGCAAATGCGCTCGTCCTGCACCAAGACTATCTACCTGAATATGATTCAAGTGCTGCGAGTGGACAGGAAATAATGATTTTGGTAAATACCGTGGTGCACGAAAAAAAAAAATTCAATGCTTCATACTTCTCCCTCGCTCCAGATGAGACAGAGTTATTGTGGTACATCCTGGAATTACCCACAGTTACAAGACAATGGCAGCCATGGTACTAGTAACGCCGGATGCTCAAGCAGAGGCGGTGATACTACCCCGTGCCACCAATGCCCACCGAGGAAGATCTCCTTTTGCCAACGCCAGAGAGTTGCGCTGATTTTCTTGTCCAGTGAGCCTGATGCGTCGACAGTTCATCAAAGTTCATCAAAGAAACTCCTTAATTCACGCTTAACACGACGACGCGGAGGGGTAATGAGAGTAACCCCGACCAAACGTTACGTCCAGAGAGAAGGAGTAGTAGGAGTCTCCAAGGGGTGAACCATGGCTCTTCTCGCCTCAAGCCGTGCTCGAGGACGAGGCTGCTTAGCTGATGGTATTAGATGCTGTCGTTGTGCCGCTGGTACTTGATATCATCAAGGAGGAAGAGACGGACATGTCATCAATGTATCCTCGTCAACACCAACACATGAAAGCTCCGTGCTGCGTGTATGGGTCATCGCCCTATGGTGGTAGCTCCACGACACCATCCGGCAGTCCAATCGTAAGGTCAGTGTTATCCGAACTCTTCGTGGGTCGCACGTCCGAGTTTGAATAAACGATTAGAATTATGAATTTCGAACGTAATGATAGTCGTAGGATCTCATAATGATAGTACAGAAAGTGAATGGATATAGGATAACAAATCAAAGCAGAGCATCACGGATCTGTCCGAAAATCAGATGGGATCATCACACGACAGGAGAAAGGGACTTACATTACCAGACATAATTGAACTGGGTATCAACATATGACGGTGAGAAAAAGTACAAGTCAGATCGTGTAAAAACAAAAAGATGAATGAAAAGGCGAGGCCGACGCTCAGACCAACTTCGCAGTGGCAAGGTTGATCCGCAGAATGACACTAGACAGAAAAAGAGTGGGAGGGAAAAGGCGATAGGAGAAGATTGAGTCGAAGACAAAATGGGCGGGGAAGGAACGGGGGAAAGGGGCACTCACTCTGAAAGGGAAGAAAGGGCGAACGTCAATGATTGATGCAAATCCAAACTGAATAGAACGCAACGTACCTTCCACAGCAGCCATCACGACTCGAAGCATGGCGGTATCAGTCGCTGTCGTTATACTGATACACATCAGCACCATCGTTCAACGAAACCCACGCTGAACAACAACTTACTGTATATAAATCTCCCTCTCCTTATGTCGACGAGCCTTAGTCGCCAATTTCGAAAAACGTCGCCTGAAGTAATCTCGGCCTGCACGGACATCACCAACATCACCATCAAAGTCCTAATGATGGACGGATGAGTCACGAGAGAGAGAAGAATGCACACGCGCGCGGGAGAAGGCTTTACGTACTGGGAAGAAGTTTTTGATATCAGAATGAGGTACCTTCTTTTCGAAGAGGTCATTTTTGTTCAAAAACAAGATCTAAAAAAAACGTCGAATCTCGGCTAAGTGAGTGGGTAGGTGTTACGGAGGGTCGTACGTACGATCGAAGTGTACTTGAACCACTGCGAGTGACATATGGAATCCCATATCGTCATAGCATCTTGCATCTGGTTCTATCAGATCAGATCAAGTCAGCACGGCGCCTACGAAAGATCAAAGCTAATCACTTACAGCATCCTTATCCTCCACCAGACACTGATCGTACCCACTCAGGCTGACAAGGAACAAGATGCTCGTCACATCCTGGAAACAATGTATCCATTTCCGACGTTCGGATTTCTGCCCCCCGACATCGACCATCGTAAGCTCGCGTTCTCGTAGACAGAAGACAGTCTCCTTGATACCAATCGTCCGGGCACGGCAACGTATGATGTCCTGCTCCGTTGGCTGATATAGGGGATCGAATAGGCGATTTAGGTCCGAGAAGAAATAATCCAGGCTAACCTTTGTGAGAAGACATCAACAAGTGAAAAGATAGCAGACATACTTTTCAGGCAAGGCTGCTTCGTTCCCTCTCCGCCATGCTTTGCGAACGCCAGCGTCTGCCCACAGCGCCTTGAGTGGCTTATAATATTCCAAAGGGAACGGCTCTCCGTCCCTCAAGTACCGTGCATTGTAGATGATATCGATATAATCAATGTTGTTCTCCGAAACCTTGAGACCCATGTCTTCCATCGCATCGAGGATACACTTCAAGCCGCCGGTGATGTTGTCGAATGTGAGCTGCCGGTACCACTCGATTTCTTGCGGTGAAAAGGGGATTTTGTGGATGAGGCGCATTTGCTATCACATAGGATGAGTGCTGTGTGCTATGAGAGATGTATGCGCACCTTTAGTACAGTTGACTTTCCGGAATCCCCAGATCCCAAGAGCAAGACCTAAGCGGGCGATATTCAAGAATTGATATGGACGGTGTTTGGGAACACATACCTTAACTTGGATCGCCAATTTTGCCTTGGCCTGGCAGTCACTTGTCCTTATGGTTGCATATATTCAACTCGACGACAAACGCACCTCCTTGAGTTCCTTCTCGGCTTCCCTATGCAAGGCAATATCTGCACCCGTGACCTCGAAGCGATGAGAAGACAAGCATGCACCCATTGTGTAGACTTGGTAAGAGTAACACCAGCGAATGAGCGCGTACACGACTGAGTGCGAGTTCTTGCGAACCTGGCGTATTCAGCTCGGTACCGAAAAGGCGAAAATGAAACAGATATACAAGAAATAAGGAGAGAAAATGGGAGAAAGGTAACGTGGTGAGAATGCAATTCTAAGACATGCCTTGAATTGTTTTGGAAATTTTCGATCAAATCATATGCCTTAGGCATTTTGGTGCGGAAGCAGACCTATTTCAGTATCCCCGCAAGAGCTCTATCTCCGGACAGCTTCGTCTATCGACACCCTACCTCCGCCTAATCTTCTCGCATCACCCACGGATGCATCCGCGGTCCTTCATCCTACCGCGGTCGCCCTCTTCTTTGTAGGGAACGCTGTCCTTCTAGCATCTTCATGTCCAATGGCATAACCTAGGCGTTTTTCTCAGAATAGTCCTGTCTTGGAGCTGAATATATTTACCTTATGGACGCGTTGATGAGCGAAATACCAATGGTCCTCGAACTAGGTTGGCAGGTTAAGGGTATACGTAATTGGAGTGACGGCTAGCGAATGCTTAGATCGATTTCGCAGAGACAACTTGTCGACTTCAGATTCATGTCAGCTGTATTAGGAGGTGGATCAAGGGAAGCACACACATTATCATATACGCCTACGAGTCGAGGTGCGCTCATCAGGCTTCAACAGTACCTTCAGTCAAGCTCGCCCATCGACTAAATTACCACGGCCCCACCGAAGGAAGACCCGCGTCGAGATCCGTAATCATTATGCCGGAATTGTTGGACCGTCACTAAATTGAGAGAGCGCCTGCCAATTTGAGAATACATCAGCTTCAAGCGGCGGTGGATGTAAGAGCACAGTGACTCACGTTCTTCGCATTTCAGACATGGGATAGGCAAATAGAAAGGTTAGAAGGAAAGTGAGCAGAGTGGTGGTGGTCGGAGCGAAAGACGCGTCTTTGTTTGCGCTACTTTGGACGGGTCGCGTAAAAGACAGTGACGTCATAGCTGTTCTCGCCCTTGACTCTCATCAGTTCAAACTGAAATCTCGAAAATCGATAATGATTCTCTGGCCTCTTTCCTTACGTTGCGTTTGAAAATGTTATGCTAGGATGTACTTGTGACGACAGGGAGATAATTCATTTAATTCTCCCACAAAATCTCGAGAGAATTTTTGGATTAGTCTACGCCTGTCGAATGGCCCTTTGGTGAACCGGGCATCTTCCACCACTCCAAACATCAAACTGAACAGCCCGTCAACCGGAATTCGTAGAGATCCTGCGGCCAGTCCTATCAACGCTAAGACTTGGCCTCGTTGACGCATAATCAGGCGGAGGATCATGTTCCATTTCCGACACTACTGCTGACTGTCTCTGCCGGTTCAAGAGAAGCTGAACAGTCGACTCCAACTCCTCAAGTCTCGCTCTATCACAGACCACTTCCCCCTGGTCCTGACTCACAGGAGACCCTTGACACGGCGTAACACAAGAAACCTTGTCCTGACAGTATGGCTCTAGAATCTGCGATTCCCTATCGGTATTCTTCTCCTGCGTTTTCCGCCGTCGGAGGAGGAAAACCACGAGGATTAGGAGTAAGGATACCAAAACAACGATGCCGATCACAGTCCCCAGGATCACAAGCCTACGAGCTGATGTTGGAGGATCAGAGGGAACGGGTGATGCCTGGACCACTAGACTGGTAGTGCTACCTTTTGTTAGCGCGCTTAATGAGGAAAGAAATTGAAGAGGACGAACGACTCTGATTCAGAAATAGTCGTTGTTGAAACCACAGTCGTCATGTTGGCTGGTTCCTCCATGTTAGGCGTGGAACTTGTAGATGGTAACCCTGCTCCGGTAGAAGGCATTGAAATGTTCGGTGGCAGTCCTGGGCTGAGAGGTGAAGGTTGCATAAGACTGGGAATTTGTCCTCAAGCCAGACAGGAAACCTCACGAGTTATACTGTCCCTCTTCCTTCCAGATGACGGCCAGTAGTGAGTAACAAGCAGTGGGTTCTGAGATCATGGAATGCGAGGAGTGTACTTTCCACCAGTGCATTCTCTGTCCTCCACAGAGTGATATAGGTCCCCAGAGTAAGAGTGCTGTAATACGCAGGCAACAGCAGAAATGAATGAAAGCATCTAATCAGACGGCAACAGCACGGGATAAGGATGTGCGCCGCGTTCGGTAGACCCGAGTTGACTCGAAGGCGAGCCCATTCCTAGATAGAGTTAGCTGTATATCACAACGAATGCGATTGCCTGGAAGTGGTCTGTTTCGAGGTTGGTTTAGATCGGCTGAAGGATGCAGAGACAGAGTTTACAGTTTCTGTAAGGCGTGATCCCAGTATAGATTAGCTGAGTTACGAGCTGAGGGGATATCGTCCCATGACCTAGCTAAGTGGCTTTAGAAGTCACCCCATTAAACATTTCCATCTTCATGCTGTAAAAGCCTTGGATATCGCGTACTGCGGATCAATGAGTTGTACACACCGCTTCTCCTTAAGTGGCACCCTGAATCTTACAGACAATAGATGTACAATTGCGGCATACAGCACGTCAGTACTAGTTGCAGCATGAGGCTATGAGCACGGAAGGGCGAACCCAGAGCGGAGTCGGATTCAGATTCCCCGCCTGTTGAATCTCGTCCTACATCCTCCTTGGGTTCTTATCCCACACAGCTCCGTCTGGGAGCGTAAACGACGATGAGCGAGAGCATAATGCTGCTGAGTGCCTTCGTTTCTCCTGGGTAAAGTCGTATACGCGTATGCCAGATTTGAGGGAAAACAGCGCTGGCAACGATAAGATTCCCCCTGAATCGGAAAGATATATCGTCTTAGATTAGGCGTCAAGCGGTGCTTTGAAGTAGCCAAGATGCCAGTGAAGGAATAGCGAGACGAAGCGTTAGAATAGGATGATGGTCAGAGAGGCCAGATGGTTATGCCGAGGTCCCGCCTCGGACTTGCTTCATGCCTCTCTGCCGAGCCGCGATGGATCAAAAACAATTTCCAAATTCCTTCCTTCCTCCAAGGCATCGTACTTAAAGATTCTCTCTACGCACGGGCTTCCGTTTAAAGTACACGTCCGTGGTGTTTGTTCTTCATATAATATTGACTCATAAACCTCAACCAGGCTGATAACTTGTTGTTCAAAAATGCGTGTACGACTCAGACAGACTTCCGAATCATCACTCCCTGTGGGAAGAGAGGATGAAGGCGAGATGCTTCCTTTTCTGGTTCACGAGACGGGAATAATAGATTCTGAAGTAAGTCGCGCCCGATGCATTCGCCCTTAAGAATTCGAGATGGAATTGTTAGCTTCAGAACCATATTCCAATGTCAGGGTTGCATATACCAGTACACGCCGGCATACTCTATACCAACTGTGCAACCCTCTACATGACCCGCCATTAGGAGGACCAATCCCACGACCGTGCCGTGCTTATTTTGCCACATCATCTGGTTTGTTCTCCCATTTCGAGCGGGTACGGCTCAATAAGGGCCCAGTGGAGACATATAAGCTCACGGTTTTTGTTCCTAACTGTGTATTTCTAGAATGGCAGCTTGGTAATCTGAATTTTGTCTCGAAACAATTCAAGGTATAATCATCTTCTTTGAAGACATTTCACTGACATGTTAAGGCTAAGTCAATTGCGGGAAAATCGTTCCGGACCATCTCAAGGAGGCGGAATAAGCTAGTAGGGCGTTGTATCGGTCGACGTTTGTTGACTGTGAGCTTTGTGCACGACTTGCGGCTTGCGGCTTGCGGCTTGCCATATTTAACATTCAGTTTTCAGTACGGAACGACAGCTGCAGTTAACATGGCCAGGTATATAACGGGCCGGGAGAATTTCGCGTTTTTGTGATGCGTTTTTGCGTTTGGTGGGTTTGGTCAGTCCTGATGCGTTTCAGATTAAGATATTGCTGCACTTACCCTCCTGTAAAGGCTCGGCTTGTCAACCAGCATCATTTCCTGTATTATAATTCGCCTCAGAACTAGAATTCATCTCATTCCTGTGTTATAATACCTTAGAGAAGGCTCCAAATGACATTCTGCGAGAGAAAAACAAAAGGTAAGTCCAAACACAACTTGCATATCAATCAAATTTTGATTTCGCACCCCGCAGGACTTCACGCATGCGTTACTGAATAAAACGCACGCGTCAAATAAAAAACGCATGTGTTAGGCCAAAAAAACTCACGCGTTCAAAATTCAACGCATCGACGCATGTGACTGGGACGTATTTGTGACCAGTGCGTTCAGGTGCCGTCGGCGGGACGACTCCGGTTGTGATGGCATTTCGGTCCTAGGTGCTAGTGGCTGGAGCCATATCAGACCCGCACCTTTCTCTACTGAGCACCATCGTAAACTCACCTAAACTGACCATAGGATCTCCAGGCCTTTTGGAATGCTGTTTGGAAGACTTTACGCTCTCGGTAATGCTGGATTTGTCGGTTATGGGTCGCAGCAGAACAAGGATTTATGATGTACTTCCACCTCTAAATTCCAGGCTTTTGGAGGCATAAGTATGTCATAATTGAAGGCCTCGGTGCAGAACACTGGTATTGGATGGCATCTAAGACAGTGACCTTGTAAGAACACGCAAACGGTTTGAGGAATGAGGCTAACCATCGTAACATAACGGTCAACTGAACAGAGGTAGCTGGTTAATGTGTCTAATGCGTCTGGCAACTTACCTTTGATAAAATAGTTGAGATCCATTATTTCTAAGCTATCGGGTTTGTTTAGTGTCGGGACGAGCAGAATAACAACTAATACATACTTGCTATATTAACGCTACGTTGCAGCAAGGGCTCCGGTACATGACCAGTCAGTAAGCAAACAGAGATACAATACCGTGCACATTAACAGCGAGCATGTCAATCCCATGCTACCCATTTCAATCTGCGTCCAGAGAAGTAAAGTAAATGAAAGAGAGTCAACAAAGGCGAAGAAACAAAAATAAAGCTTCGACCTACTCTTGCAGGGTCCAAGCCAGCAGTCGCTCCCGCCAAGTTTCCGCAGAACCTGCTCATCTATACCGAATCCTAGGATGCTGAAATCAGTGGGCGCGAGCGGAATTGGTATCCACACTATCAAACGTTACAGAAGGAGGGGCGGGGTGGTTCACATTGATGGTCCTAGGTCCTAGATTATAGATGCATGCAAGTTGAGCAGAGAAAGAGGTAGCGCATGCGGATTGGGACTCACCTTCACTCGCTAATCCATTACTACTATCGGTGTTCCTCGCCGTTGAGCTTGACATCGTCGCTTCACGTTCAAACGGCGTAGAGGGTCTTCATGTGCCGTCGTGGGAGGGAAACTGTACTCGGAACAACGGACCGATGTGGCAGTGTTTTACGTGGCTTGCATCATTGTCCAAAAATCAACCGGAGTCGTCCCGCCGACGACATTCAGGTGCGTTCGCTGCGTTCAACCAACATTCAACGGTGCGTTGAGATTAAAATTCGGTTTTTACCAGTTTTCTGTTATGGAGAAAAAGAACGTCCTTGATCGGCAGATCCGGAATGCCCGAGTCCATTTGACACGGATTCTCTCGGGAGTCGTACAACTCTCGAATTCAAATATTTCAGTTTCAGTGCGCTATGACGTCCTACACTCGGCTGACACCGATACATAAATACCTTCTAGTGCTAGTATCTGTTCGTTTCGCTTGTGAAAGCATTTGACCGGTCGCCTACTCGGCTTTGCCTTTCTATGACTTTAAGTTTGATTCTTGTATTGCCGACCTCTGCCACAGCGCTTCGGATGTTGCCTTCCGCTTTTTGGAGTACCCAAGAGTAAAATGCTAGTCGAATATTAACACTGCCAGTGGAATATATTATTGGAAACAAAACAGCAAAACGACGCACCTTCGTCATGCACGTAAACGCACTGAACACACCGACGCGTTCTTTCCCACGCATGCACGATAACACAAACGCAGCGAACGCACGAACGCATCACGCAAACGCGAAATTCACCCTGCCCCCTGTAATTTCCGTCAAGATAAAGGAGCCGAAACAAGCCTTATTTACGACCTCATGCAAATCCACGTGCGATAGGTTGTCAAATAGCACCTTTTTCCGACACATTGAGACCGAAATAGGGCTACAGCCCGCATTGACTTTGCGCGGTCACGCCCTTGTATAAAAGGCTATTCGAAATTCAGCCTCTCACCTTCACCTCTTAGACTTCATGAAAATGGACGCGTCTTATTTCGTCCCCCCACCCGTGTGCGTAGCCCCCTTGCCTGACCCACTCGCCCGTTCAAACTAACTTGGTGGCAGGAAGGCTGCTACTTACGACGCGCTGAAATTCCGTGGTGGATCACTATCGTAGGTTAATTTTATTCTGTTTGAGTTATGTTTCGAGCTCGCGCAGAGTTGCACGCATGGATGCGACACGTGATGGGCTACGTCCGGAAGACGGGCTAAATTCTGAAGAAATTTTTGGGTACGCCTCTTTGGGTGCTATGTTTCTGTAATGTAAGACTTCTTTTAGCTTCGAGCCACCAGAAATCGAGCCGCAGCAGGTCGGAGACTCACAGAGGTGGGTTCTTTCACTCCGCACCTCTCATTTCGTTTATTCATGCCCTTGCAGTTTTGAGGAGAGCTCCCTGCTTTACTCGGCCTTAAGTCGAACAAGCGGTGCATCATCCGGGTTCGCTGTTGAAGACACTAGGTACGTTCCATTTATTTCTCTGCTATATCGAACTGATACAACGCCTTCCAGTCTTTCCTTTCCTAATGAAGTCACTGAATCATCCGGTGCATTGCAGAGGTACGCCACTCATCCGGTGTATTTGGGTCGAGCATTTCATTCCTCACAGAAACATACATCATTCCGATATTGAATCTCTCGAACCCACGGACAATTTTGGCAATACGAATAACGAACGCATTTCGATGCAATATCTACGAGAACGTCGTACCATATTCTATCCAACGCCTCCAGCCTCTGTATCTCCATCCTCTTCGAACAGCTTGCTACCAAGCTATTTTCTGGAGTACAGCCTTACGAGAGTCTCTGTATGCTATCCGCTATTCAACACGTTCCGTCGTACATCACACCCAACACGATGACCTACCCAGGACCAGCAGAGTTGGCTCATAGTCCCTACCGCGCTCTTGTACTCCAATACGAACCAATCGATGTGACTCAGTCCCATGCCTGGAGCTCCTCAGCCGATACCGGAGAAAAGTCTGGAGGGTACGCCCCATCCCTTTTTCTATAACTCGGTGCTCACTATTGTATCAGACGGGAAAGCGGGAAATCTCCTCAATGTAGGACTAGGTTTTCGACCTGGAGATAAGTCAGTTCTCTTATAATATTGATTGTAGTCTTCACCCATTGTCTGGAGCAGTCCCTGTGTAAGAACTCGCGGTTCACAGGTAAGCACAAAGGAACTAATGTTCACGGCAATCGCACTAGCGATGCCCTACTAACTACACAGCTTTTATACTACCAGAATACGTAGAATGTACTAGAATAAATGAGTAATGTATCACTAATAAAATGAGTAAGCGTCCCGGGGAATATGGGGAGAACGAGCGAGAATATTCATGCAAGCTCGCTCTTCTAAAAATAGTAATCCATATTCTAACAGTCCCTACCCACCGCCGCTCAGTCAGCCACGCCAGCAAGGGAATATTGAACGATCCCAAGACGTTGTTCTATTCTTCTATATATCTAGCCCTCTGAGATATTCCTAAGCTATATCCCCACGGAAATCCCGCCTTCCTTAGTGCACAAGTTGTACGTTTCAATCTGCCTTCACTACATAACATTCCCTGATGTAACCTGACCGCAGTACCGACGGTACGCGCCGTTACTGTCCCCTCGATCCAAAAAGGGTCGCCAAAGATGTCATGCCGTGCTATACTGCGACTTTTGATTTCCCCACGACCTTCTACGGAATGCAGCGCATTCCCCCACTTCTCAGCACCCGTCATCCTTGCCCAATCATAGACTGCTCGGCATCCCTAGTGCTGGACGACTTCCCAGCGCATTACGAAGCGCATCATTTCATCATGAAATGTAATCAATCGTTATGCCCCAGCTGGTCAAATCCACATAGCCCCGGTGTTCAACACAGTCCCCAGTGTCGCAAACAAATTGTATGCCATTCGCACTGGAGGGGCGACAAGAATCTCAAACTAGAAGACGTGAAGACGCACGTCCTTGATTCGCATCTCAAATTGAGTTATATTGAATGCGGAAACTGCCCGAAATTGTTGAAAACTATGTTGACATTGATGGTTCATATGAAGAAGTGCGGGGGACTCAGCACTTGGAGCAGAAAAGAAGAACAAAATGAGATTCAGGCATGAAGGGAAGAGATTAATAGACTTTTCACCCAACTTAGGACATTATTACGGCATATATATCCATAGTTCCCTAGCTCCAATAGAAGACCTGACGAAGTGGCCGTCGTACAGGGAACTGAAAATATTCAATTACATTGGATCGAACAGAAATGATGCGTTGAGACATCCCGAATAAGTTTTTCTGAGCCCTCCCGGTCATACAATGGAATGTAGGCAGCCAATGGCTCGTGGTTATGTCCAGTCTTAATTGGGGTTCTTTCTGGATCAGTTGCACTTCTTCCTCGATACGCCGCTCTTCTATGACTTCAAAGAATTGTAATCCTACTAACAGAAACCGCACTTAGATATCTGCGACGGTCTTTTTAATGACCCAAAAAAACTCAGTCTTCTGATCGTTACTATGGCTTACCGATCAGATGGACCAAGTTCGAACGCGCCGGGCACCGCACTATGCATAACAACAAGGCAGTGGCAACCAGCCATTGTTCAGAACAAAAATGGACATGTCCCGACCACTTTGTTTATCTACGGTACAATGAAGACTTATTGTAGTACCCAAAACAGGTCTTTGCTTGAATCTGAGACATCATGCATCATTCAGGAGCAGACATCTATATAAACGAGGCGCATAGAATGTCAAGGTAAATCTCTCTTTCCCTCCACAAATGTCCTCTAATCTCTCCGCCTTGCAGCTGGATTCCCCTTCAAATCTGGAGGGCCTCCCTCTCGAGCTATTGGAAGAGATTCTTTCACACCTCCATACCCCCACTATCAAACAACTTTCCTTGGCATCCTCTACCCTCCATAGCGCATGCTTTCCCTATTTCTTTCGCAACTTAGCCTTGCACGGATCCTTCGGTCCTGCCACCAAGTTTCTTGCCGACTTCGAAAAACGCGTTCCCATTTCTTGCTTGCGCACGGTCTGGTTAGAATGGGTGAAAGAGGATGTCTCAACCGCTATTTTTCCGTGGTGCAAAGGTGTTCATAGCGTGAAAATCAACGGAAGTTCGGTGGGCAACACGGCGATTCTGCCTGCGTTAACCTATCTTACAAACCTCGAATTGACGAACCTGTCATTCCCATGTTTGGCTGACTATTTTCGGTTGCTGGAGACTCTGCCGTTGACGGTCAAGAGTGTCAAGGTTCGCATGATTACGTTTCGTGAGTCGCAGTCGAATTGGATTGTTGGTCGTAGGATTGAGCTGGAGCGGTTGGATATTGATTCGGCTGCTGACTTGGGGCCATTTCTTAGAGACGACTGCCCAATTTCCCCATTTTCTTTACGAGAGGTATCCCTTCCGTATTCTTCTGTGAGGGATCTTGAGGTCTTCCTTCGAAGGATTCCAATTTTGCTTGATCTATCAATTAAAATGGATAAATTCGAAGACATACCAGGTGCGCGGTTCATCGAAACTGCTGTGCATTAGCTCATGCCTCAATAGTTTCTTTCGTTTTTACGAAATCGAAAGCGCTGTCCATAATCGACTGCACTCGGGATACTTGCTTTCTCAAGAACCTCTTCGCTCCATCCTCCGATACTCCATCACCGTTGGAATCATTGAACCTGACATTTTCTTGCACCCAGTGGGTATCGCCTCAACAGGTATCCAGACATCTTGCCCAGGTGTTTTCACAGCCCCGATTCCACAACCTGAGGATGCTTCACCTGAATATAGAGAGACCATTGTTCGGTGTGCTTAATTCAGAGCTATCACAGGGATGGCACGGATGGGCTAGGAGATTCGAACTTGATCTCCAAGCTGTAGGGAGGATTCCCAGGATCGCCGTCAGCACCGTAGAACCATTGGAAACCTATCGTGGGTACGGGTTTGGCAACGGAGATTTTTAGTGATGCATTTATCTCAGAAATAACGACGAAAGTACACAATACGACAGGTTAAAGAGCACATATATTACATACAAAGAGTTCCAGCAGGCTATTTAATTGTACATTCGAGTTTCTTGACCGCCTCGTTCAACAATCATACGGAATAGTCTCATCGTCGATGTAGTGGTCAGCATCAATTCCTAAGCCACGGCTTGCGAATGCAATCCAGAGGGTACAAGCATGGTCTCCATTGTAGCGGTTCACGTCAGCTTGGATCCAAGCGTTACGCGCGTCGACAACTGTTGGATTCACTAAATCAAACAAACTCGGAAGAAGAGACGGTGAGGGCTTGCTTACAGGTTGGATTGCAAGGCTGCAGGGCAAGAGCGTCGATGAAGAGGTGGAGGTAAACGATGTTTCCTTCGGATCCAGAAGGATCAGACATAGCAGTCGGAGACCATCCGTTGGCTTCAACAAGGAGTGCGTGTACGTTGTGAAGCATGTTCGCCCACACTTCTCCAATATCTGGACATGCCTTTCGTCAGCACACAGTTTAATTTTAACAGAGAGGACGAACCATGAACTTCGAAGAGTGAAGAAAGTGACGAGTAACGGAGGGGGTTGACAGCGGGATCTGTGGAGTATGGATAATGGCGTACACCGGCAGTATTGTTCAAGACCCAGGTTCCTGACACAAAGTCGGTTATGTTCCCGCTCTTTTGTTCGGTCCAACTAAAATATAGCATGAACGTCGTGATAAAAAGGAAAGGATATGCTAGAAACATACTCTGCCATCGCATCAGACCATCCTGAGAGGAATGAAAGTCAAAATCAAATGGCGCTCGGTGCATGCTAAGAATTTGTACCTTCGCCCATCCCAGCAGATTCATAAGTTTGTAAGCATCGAGCTGTTCCACCGCCAGTCATGCGATTAGTAAGACCATGCGTAAACTCATGAACGATTATATCGTTCTGCAAGTCTCCATCGCGACGGGGTGTAGTCATGGTGAAGACATACATACGGCAAGTACCGTTCTGACCACTGAGCAAGATATTTGAGCATTTTTCAGTAGAATAAAAGACGGCTTACTCTGGAAGAGTCAGAAAATTGGCATTATTGAATCCTGAAGAGTCTTGTACGGACATCTGCACGCGATCTCCTCCGGCTCCTCCTTTGCCAAAATTGTCTAATTGAAAGTTATACGCAGATTCAGTCCAGCCATACTTGTAGGTGAAGTCGTGGACCTTGTTGATGATGTAGAAGGCGTTGGTACGAGCTGCGTCCACGTTATCGCCATCTGTTGGTCCGATGGAGACATCATACGGATAATCAAACGTGTCGGAGGATGACTCTTTAGTCGTATTGCTCGGAGTGCCCTTGTAGGCCACGACGTTGTTTCCTCTATCGAATCGTAAGTGATTTTACTCGGAAGATATAGAATTAAGATACAAACGCAGTCTCGCCATTCTGCACCCAACCGATGGGAGAAGATTGAAAGTCTTCGGGATTGACTAGAGTTTCTTCGCCCTCCAACACCGATTGCTTAGTTATGGGCAAAACCGTGTACTGTAGCTGATTTAGAGATACATCAGAAAGCAAGAGGCGATAGAAGCTTTACCGTAGCTTCAGCGAGGAAATCGGTGCTCCCAACGATATTTCCGGAATGGGCGTCAACAAATGCTTCATAGCCGGCATTGGTGTCGGTGTTCTGGACTTGCAATACATAAGTGAGGGCGACGGATCCATCGGCCTGGGCTAAATATTCGAGCGAGTTTATGCCATTGTAGGTGGCGCCGAAGGCGTCCTCGACTTCACCAATAATTGAGTCGAGCGTGATGGATGGCTGGGAAGACGCAATGGTTGCTAACTATGACGTTAATAGGAAGGAACGAAGAGAACGGTGTTAGCTTACAGGTATCCACGAACGAGGTCCCAAAAGCAACTGCTTTGCCATTCTTGAAAGCGACATTGGCAACAGCATTAGCCAAAGGAACCCCGTCCTGTAAGAGATTAATAGTTGTCCATCGTAAGAGGGAAAAGGGGAAGTCATACATGTGATTGCTTCGCATAAGCGTAGCTCATGTCGTTGTCTGCCGTATGGCCAGAGCTATAGGCGATAGTAGATGGGTCGACACCAAGTTCTGAGGAAATGAAGGAGATCGTAGACTTTTCCAGGTCACCATTAACAAAGGAAGCAACCTCTTTCCCTTCTCCGTAAGTCTGAAATACAGTATAAGAATGTAAACTGAACGGATAAACCCACTACGTTACCTTGTAAGTCGTCTTGGGGTGATAACTGTCGACCTTCAAGTCGCGCCCAATCATCTTGAGCCCATGGGTAGAGTATTTCAGGTAGCCTGGCCAGGGTGAAGCCTTGACAAGGGATACTACGAGGAGTATGGTATAGAAAAACCTGGTACCAAGAGCGCGCATGTTGTTCCTTTAAGTCCAAGTACGCGCTATAAAGATGAGGAAATTCCCTGACACACTAATGCTACGTTTTGAGAGGCTTTATATGCCAAGAACCACCCCATTTCGGAGGGTGTCTGCTGCAATTGGTTCCTCAAGGATAAAATGGCGAGTTCATCGAAGCTCGAGTCATCACATGGAGTCCGACGTCTAGCCCTGAGGGAACAGGAACAAAGGAATCCAGATTACGGGGGAAGAATGCAGACGTGGCAAAATTAAGACGATGAGGACGATGGTACCTCGTTTTTTCCAACACCCCCAAAGCACTGATATCTGACGTTCAAGTCGACGATATGGTGATAAATAGTCATCTTCGTATCGCAGAGGTCCAACATGAACCCTCGAATTAGCATGCGAAGACATAGAGAGGTGCAACAAAGACGACACTCAGGTATATATCTGAACCCTCCTTTCCGTTCTGCTGCTTGGATTTGGACACGGGCTGAATCCCCCGCGAGCGAGACTCCAGTTTGATGATCAATCAAAATCGGTCTTAGAGCTGCAGAGACCGCATCGTTCGTTTGGATTCAGATGTTCGCAGTGGCTAGCACCAGACATGGGGGCAAATTAACGGTGCTCGCCTGCAGGTTCTGCCCCACCAGTCAGTGTGGGCTCCGATAAGCAGATCCTGTATGAAGCGTTCAGCAGAGGATCACCAGAGCTTTACATACAAGGTACGAAGAAAAATGGTGTACCTCAAAGTCAAAAGCCGTAAAGGGACGCATATACCGTGAAGTAAGACGAGAAGATGGCGAGAGAGGCCACGAGAAGCCCAGAGTAAGCGCCGCGTCGGACCGGATAGTCCGGAACATGAATTTCCGGACAGTTCGGATAACTTTCTTCATCCAAACCACAATCAGCTCAGTGCCAAGCTCATCTGAATCGGTGCCGTGATTTCGCCCTATTCACTTTGGAATCTGGAATTGCATGTGTGTCGTGGAGGCTAGCTTCGTAAAGCCAGTCATGAGCCAGTCTGAGTATCACATTGCCATCTTCGTATAGTCTTGGCAGTTGCTTGGCGGTTATCCATGACCATGCATTGAAGAGGGTTCTGCGCATTCGCCTCTTTATTCAGGATTACAAGAGTACGACTCAAAGACTAGTGTTGTAGCGGAAGGGGGTGTAAAGACAGAGCTGAACTTTGAACAGTCAGACAAGACAACCGTCGCGACACGCGGGAGGTCGGGACTTCACGTGATGCATGAAGCCCACACCGGGCCCGACGCCGATTTCTCCGGACTCTTTTCCGTCAAGCGACGAGTTACTTAATACTTACTCTGCTGCCACTATGCATTTCCTTGTAACGATACCCTAGCTTTGCTCTCTTGTCCTCAGGACATCGAACAAGGAAATGCTGTGTAGATTGCTCTATGCGAGCTAAGTCGCACTCAGTCTCAAGTTTTGGCAATCTTGTCTTGATACTTCGCCTTTGGGTGAGAAGATTTCCTTCGAGCGTTCGAAATAAAGTAGCCAACAAAGACAACTCTAATTCGACACCAGATGACATAACGCACATACAACTATCCATCAGATCGATGCGTACTTTGGATGGCTCACCTCGCAGCAATGATAGTCATCAATAAATATGAATTATTTGCATCGTATGTCGCTTTAGCTCATAGCTCCAGCCCTTTATTGACTATCAGAAGCTCTCGATAGGCTCAATCTCGCGACCGTACCCTATCCCAGAGAATACTGTCTACTGTTTTCAGCAGCACTCGGTGACATGAGGTTCATTTACTTTGACGAAGAATTGAATCGGGCGCCTATTTTCAGGGTGATGATGACATGCTTCACACTGCGGAGCCAATTCGACAACGTGCCACTAGTCGCCATAAAAACTCGTATCGATCTCCATCATCTTACCACGACCAGCATGCAGACCCTCATCGACGACCTCGAAAAGTCGTTCTCTAAGCTTTCCACGAAAGACGATAAGAAATCGGCGTTGTTGTCATGCATGGAAAGGCTCGGAAGCGATTCTCAAGGATCTATAATTCAGCTTTACGGGTGCCCTGGTATCCCCAAGAGCGGCAAAAACGTAGATGACAACGACCGGAAAGCCTTAGAAGGCCTCATCGCACGTCATGGACTTCAAGATGACTTATTCGACGTCGCAAAGGCGCTATGCAATGAAAGTCGTTTGGCGCTCGGGACCAAGATGCCGCCTCCCTTGAGCCGTCTCGGTTGCGCAAATCAAATCATCTCCAAGTCCCAATTTTGCCCTAAAGATGGAACTATGACCTGTTCCGGATGTTTTCTCGTTCGATATTGCTCGAAAGAGTGCCAGTCGACCCACTGGAAATCGCACAAGCAAGGTATGTTCTAGAATTTACATAGGCGAAGAAGGAACTAACATAGTTGCAGATTGTAAAAATCCATTAAAATCAACGTCATGGTCGCCAGCATGGATCAAGGAGAAGAGGAGCCCAGCGTTCATTGACGGTGACGACGTGCCACCAAGCCAACTTTCGATGCAATCTCCATTTGGAATGGGCGTGATTTTGTGAGTTACTTCCTGGTGGTGCCGCGCTGTCCAAATACTGACTCTAGGTCATTAGGTGGGGGAACATCGAGGCTATCGATATCATTAGCGCCAAGCATAACGAGGGGCTAGAAGATATACGGAACAGAGATCTATCGATAGCATTCATAGGTGCGTGCTCGGTTCCGTTCGTTTCTGCGACCCAGTCTGATTGATAACCGTAGCTTCCGGAGATCTACGAAACGTTGTCAGGACCATCAATGAGTTACCAGAAGACTACTCCGGGTCCATCAAAATTGTCCTCAATGACAAAAATCCCATGATCGTCTGCCGGAACCTCCTAATTCTCTCCATTCTTGGTGTTATCGCAGACGTTGTGAGTATGATAGTACCGCCTAATGATTCGTCATTAACTTCTCGCCGTAGGAGGAAGGAGCCGAACATGCTCTTCACCTCTGGTACTCTGTTTTTCAGCCTCTGTCTTACCAGACGCGCATTCTTCTACATCTCTGCGAGTCTGATACCTTTAAGAATCTTAAGGGGACACCCTCTCAGCTTACATCTTCTACCACGATGCACACAGTATTCTCCTCTCACACTGTCGATTTTCTTTCCCAACAGCTTTGTTCAGCTTTGGATCCCGCTTCCGCCAACACCGCTTTGAACAACATAATGAATGCGCCGGAGCGAGTGGATTATCGCGACAGATATTATGAGGCCATTAAACCTTCTCATAGAGTTGCATTTGAGAGGTGGCGTTCATTCGGGCTCGTTTTACCCTTTGGGGCCGCCAACTCTCATATGGCTATCCCGAACAAATGGCTCTTCACTTATGGACATCTCATGCTCAACGATTGCGCTAATCCCTTCGAAGGATGGAAGTAAGCATTCCAAATTACCTAAGTATTTGCACTTACTGCCACTATTAGTCTCGACGAGATGTTTAAGGCCGGAAAAGCTCATGGCACAACCGAAGACGATTTGATAGGTTGCCTATTCTTCTACGTCAAAAACCAGCTCGTCGAATTTTCCAACCGACTTCGTCGATTCAAGATACATATATATTCCTTTGATGAGGACGCCCGAGTGCTTCAGAGAACTTTGAAAGGCGGCCCATCATTTCCGCAAAGCTTCGACCGCATTGAAGTCTCAAATATTGTCGACAAGAATTACGTTGGGATGTCCGTCTTATCTGACTGGAGTCCTTTTCTGAACAAAGCTAATCCTCACGCGGCCATTGTCGGCCTCTTTATGAACTGGCCGACATGGAAAGAATCCGGCAATGCTCTGTCTTCAGAATCAGCTGGCAGTCGTGCGATGAAGAAGATGGCCGCTTGCCCCTATGCAGTACGCTTTGGATCCAAATCGTACTCACCTTCTGACTTGCCGCTAGGGATTTTCTCCAAACCTTTCTCCCGGAAGGATGATGAGCATGATGAACAATCTGAATATGTTCCACGACACGTCTCCTGCTTTCGAAGAGTATTTGAGAGACGAGAAGGAGGCTGTAATTGCTCGCAAGGCTGGACTTCGCCGTCGACGTATCCATAAAATCGTGCCACACGTATGATCTCTCCTTTGAATTCTTCACCTGCGTGACTTTCCTTGATCCAGCGTTGCTACACCAAGCCTGGTATGGCACAAAGCGAACTTCCATCCATCGACTCGGCGCAACGTTGGTATAGGGTGGTAAGTCTTCACGATCGTCCTTTATGTTTCCATACTTCATCGCGTTATTTTTCAGGCTTCCCTAGGTGGAATGACGTATTTTGAGCGCTATGCCGAGTGGGGCTTGGCGACAACACAGCTATAGTCTGGGAGAACCGTCCCATTGATAATCGAAGAATAGTAGCTACCACCGCTTGTTATTGTTTTATCCTTTTTTTGTACAGAAATTTGGCCGGGGAGTATGCAAAGGATGCCGCGTATCTCTGTAGGAATCATAAATTCGCAGCAGTCAGAAAATGTGACGAGGTGCGATAACTATCGGTCTCAGGAAAGATAGCTACGAAGTGAAGAAAAGTAAACAAAAAATATGACAACCACGACCATGCGAAGAAGGGTCGACGCGAACATAAGCACAACAATACCGGTGACGACACAGATGCCCGGAGAAATTCTTACGATTTCGGGACTCCTAGATGCGCTTACATCTCCTGTGTGGTGGCGTCGCGGCTTGTATTTTGCAAGAGTATCCTCAATACTCACCTAGTATTTCTGTTGTGCTCCTAGTCTGAATCACATCCTGAGCGTCGTAAAATATAATGTGGCCACTCAACGACTCACCAGCATTATGTGCCCCGGAGTAAGACTTCAGGTTTAATTCATCTTCGGGGATCTGAACGATCTCATTACTAGGAGTATCACGATCCTCCGGAAGTAGTTCAATCCCGTCGTAGCACTTCAGCAAAGCGGAGTATTCTTTCAGTTCTTCCCCTATACAATATGGCTGTCTGTACGCCGTACACCTGACTTGGAACGAATGATACTTACATCGTACCGGAAAGTCTTCTTGATCGTCACACACAGAAATATCGACACCGTTAGACAGTGCATTCCTGATCGCTGAGAGAGGTATTAGATAAATACCAGAATTGTAGCTAAGTCACACCTTCGTCGTTGATCATCTGGAAAGTCAGTTCCCTTTGGTTTAAGAAGATCGCGGCGTCGACACTCGTAGTGCGAAACCCACAGCGCTCTTGAAGGAAACAGGCCATCTTGAGGTTAACTCGACTAACAAATAGCCCGCTGTCACCCATATCTACTACCTCAAGCTTATAAAGGTTTTTCCACGCGCAGTCAGAACCAGGTCTGGCGCCTTGCGGATCCATAGACAGATATACGTCGGGAAGAGTGATGGAGTGAGACTTTCCATTCTGACACATAAAAGGAAGGTCAATGAATATGTATGGAATGTCGGGCGGGAGAGAGTCCGAGTCAACTTCTGAGTCTGATCTCAGTACGCGGATTTGAAATCGCCTCTTGTTAACTGAATGCGAAACAATTAGTAGGTGAACAGAGTAAGCGCAATACTACATACATTGAGAAACTACCAACTCCGGGTGATGATTGTCATTTAAGGTCTCGGATATCTTTGCCAATATTCGTGGACCTTGCGAGAACCAACTGCAGAGATGTTGGGACCTCGCGTCCGATGTTAATTCCATGGAGCATGTGAATCCGAGGCCAAGTAAGTCAAATGCTTCAGGGAGTATGGAACGAATGAAGCTTTCACTTTCATTGATCGTTGTCTGTGGACGTATGAACCTCCAGAGTCCATTTGGAAGCTCCAGAAGTTCTCCCGTCGCATAAGACTGGATTGAAAGCTTGACTGGTGGGATTCCATCTCCGAGGCAATTCACTGTGAAGTGACGGTGTTCCAGAGGGTCACTGATAACGATAGTTCCGATGTGTGTGGAGTTGGGTATAACTATATCTACGTCTGGGAACATAGACCATGGCGTCCCAACTGACAGGACATGAAAGTACCAGATGAGGTGCTCTTTTTGGACGCTAGGCTCCTGTGGCCGAAGCATCAGAAGATTGAGCGACCATTGTACTGCTGGCGGCACGGGACCAAGGATATTTTCAAAATCATTGACGTATATCTTGTCCCACGTCGTCGCCCATGACAGTTCCTCCAAATCATCGAATATCAGACGTCCGTCTGGGGAACAACGTGCCGTGCTTTCATTCTATCATCTAACGATTCATTTGTCAATATCATAGGAGGGATAGAGGTTCACTCACCAAAGTTACACCCCAGCATGAGATCAAGAACTTGAGAAGGCTCTATGAGTATTAAACGTCGTTAGACGAGGTGATTCTCCGGCACAGAAAGACTCTACGGCGTACGCAGTGGTTATGATACTGCATAAATCAACACCAAAAACGTAACACAACTATGTGAGACGCACCAATACCGATTTTGCTAAAGGTTGGATACGTTTATCAAAGAGCTTAGGATATTGACAGTATGGAATTTCGTCTAAATAGTTATCAGATGGGCTGTTATATGTCTGTCAAGATTTCTTACCGTCAGCCCCATGAAACACTAAGCAAGGCCAATCCCGAGATTTTACAACTCCATACAGCTGACGGAAGTTCGGATGCCTGTAACGCGCAACGTGGTGACGTCAGAATTGAGCTAATAAGGAAATACGTGCTAACCTTGGCGCCTTACTGTGTAGATCGAAATCTGTTTTCCATTGCTTTATGATGGTAAGTAACGAGATACATTAACAAATCTCATGTTTATTAGCTCACCAGAAGGCCTGCAGACCCGGAATACTCTTTTACGACCATAACACGGTTCGACGTGGACACATCCGCGACATATTTGAGGATTTCACCCATATGTATTGGGCCCTGTTCGATCTGCCCTATGAGGCTCTTCTTTGACCAATTTTCCCGACATTGGATATCACCGTACATCATATGGTGGAACTAGCAGCTGATTAGATTATCGTCTCAAATGAAGGAGATTGTAATTGAGTACTTTGCCGTTAGGAAGTGTATCTCGTCCATGAGCTCTGATGTGAGATACGTCACGCTTAATATCACAAGTAACGGCCATCAAGTCAGTTTGCGACGATTGAAGAGCAGTGACTCCATGAGTGATATGAGAGAGAGATACATTTGATTTTAAAGTTAGAGAGAGCTGTGTAAGCATGCTGCTTACCACGTCGACATTACTCACTAGATCTCTGGTCATAGATCCTTCGATCGTACTATATTTCACGTCATGTACTTACATATTTAGCGCTAGTTCGGGATACGCCTCTCTCTGACCTTCCGACCACCACCATCCCCTCCTTCGTAGTCGACTACATCCCGTTTTCTCCTCCCTCTTGCTTTCAATATACGCCGTTCCTCGTTAGTCTTGTCCGATTCTCTCAGTGGTCTCGCTCTTTCATAGAGCGAGGTTACAAGCTGGTGAATAAATCATTAGCGAAGAGTATCAATGTCCACGTGAGAACGGAAAACAAACCAAAAGGTTGGACCTCGCGCCTTCCATTACTTGTCGGTGTCCATTAATCATCTCTTTAATATCTCTCGAAGTTAAGAACTTTTTTATATCCTTCCAAAGGCTGTAGTTGCTACGCTCAATATCGATTACCTTAGTCGTGAGGTCCGATAGGAACCTACGCGGTGTCAGAATGAGATAATCGCTCATTGCACAAAGAATAAATACTTCTGGAACTCAGAGCAAGCATTTTTGAGATCTGCGACGTCTTCGATGCCCCTAGGTTCTGCGGATATCTTGATACTGGCATCGCGAACGATTATCGCGACATCAGTGATATCCCTGGCGAGGACCTGTATATCTTCCTTGTTCTTTGCAAGTCGCTGTCCGAGGAATACTTATGATCATGTACGTAGGGAAGACGAAGTAATGGCAAGCCTGACCTCCAGGTTGTCTAGAAACACGACAGCAACACCGGCAAGACCTTTTACGAAACTACCAGCTATTGGCAGCATCTCACCGACCGCAACGATACCCTTCACGAGTTCTATGCAAGCTGATATGGAATTATTGGAATTCTCTGCGGGTTTCTTGGATAGTTTTGAGGAATACGTTAAGTTTCATTAAGCGCCAGATGACGTAACGGCATCAATTGTCGCGAGATGCCGGCATTATCAATCAAAGGCGTGTACAGGGGGCGTTCAGACATCATATTATAATTAAGATTTGGCCCTGGATTACGAGTTATGAGGAGTTATGGCTGTTATCAAGACTAGGAAGGAGGAGATACGATTTCAAAGAGGTAAATCATTTGGGTTGGTCGAATTGAGGTTGAGTACGAAGGAGAATCTTCCAGTTCGGTTTGTTTGACCTGCTTGAAAGCATGTAGTGAGTTCCTTGATTATGCGTATCTTTTAAATTTACAATGAAGAACGCGGGAATAGCGACAAGTCTTTAAAATGAAACAGGGAAGCTATTCGTAAAAGATAGAATGCAAGACACGTCACGATAAAGGTACTTAAGTAGTTCGGTTAGTTCCGAATAAGTAGCCCAATACACCGTGTTATATCTATGCAAGGACAAAAATACATCAGCGAGCGTGATCATGATGGAGAAAACGAAGAAGTGATCTCGTGGTTCAAAGTTCTGCCTAGTACACACGGATGATTGATTATTACCCCCGGCCGGCCGCGGCAACGACAGCTACATCTTTCTTTGGGGTCTGGATCGTGGATAGTTCCCAAGCCGGCCAAACTGGTATTCTACTGCCGCTAGCTTTGCGCGACCGGGAAGAATCATACTATCTCCACGGCACACAGACCCTACCGCCTCCAGAGTCTGATATATTGGCTAAGATACTATGAATCACGGTTCACGATATTAACGCTGACCGAAACGCGATGTCAAAAATGTTCTTATTCCCCACTACAACTGAGTAAGATAATACAAAAAAGGATACAGTAAGCGTCTGAAGGTAAGTAAGTCTCCATCAAAAAGAGAATGCACCGAGGAGGAAAATAAACTGGGAATAAGTATACTTCAAACCGGGAAAGGGTATCATTCACAGGAGGACCACCGCACCCGCCACAATAGAAAGCAGAACTCCCCAAGCCGACGTACGCAACTGCAGGGCTCCGCTCCCCTGCGAACCATCAGCTACCCATTCCTCGTATGCCGATTGCATCAACAACACGAACGCCTGTGCCTCGGCACTGTCCGATCCCTCGACGCCATACGAATGTGGGTTCACGACGGGCGTCAGCCACCCGTCAGACGTGAAATGTTCATATCCCGAGGTAGAGGTCGACGCCGGTGAGGTACTAGTCGAAGTTGACGTGGAACTCAGCGATAAAGAATAAGTGGACGTCGCTCCGCTAGCGTATAAAGCGTTCCTACTGCGCTCAGCCTGGCGGATGTAAGACGTATCGCCGGTAACAGTGTATAGCCGGTAGACTGTATATGCCATGAGGGCCGTCGACGCGCTGTCGTAGAAAGTAGATTCGTTGTCGGCGTAATTTCGGAAGATATAGGTATTGTCCTAGGAAATTTTATGTGTCGGAGTTAAGGGTAGAAGCAAGGGACGTACCACTGTCTCATACATCGCTTTCTGTATCTCGACAGCCCAAGCAGCGAGGTCATCCATTTCGCTTGAGAATGTGCTTTCATATTGAGATTTCTGGATAGTAGCGTATACTCTGAGCATCCCCGCGGCAGCCCAACCGTTGCCTGTAACCACCATCAGAAAAACGACAGAAATAAACGAGAAAGTTATACGCACCCGTCGACCAGTGACCAGAATCCGTGCCAGAACTTCCCAGTACCACATGCTGCCAGAGGTTATTCGCATTCGTATCCCGTAAATTATCCCTGTAAAGCTTGATCTGGTTGTACGCCTCTGAGACCAGCGTCTCGTTCTCCGTGAGAACACCGTAGTACGCCAGGAAAGGCGGAACCATATACACAAAGTCGCTCCTGGGAATGTAATAAATAAGCATTCAGACTGTCATTGAAAGGAACATGACGCACCATAGCTGTGTTTGCGAGACTCTGTGCGATATGGCGCCGTCGCTTGACCTCGATACGTTGTTTAACAGAAAATCCAGCTGGTCTTTTGCGGCGCCTGTATAATTCAGTCCATCCGTGTCGCCCTGCCCCGTCCAACCTGCTATGAGTACAGCGACGCCGTTCGACGCCGGATCCGCCGCACTTCCATCCGACATCAAGGGCTGGGCGCCCGTAATGTTGTGGTTGGAGCTGTTTCGGTTCGAAACGATCTGTCTCGCCATCGTGAATACAGGCAGGAGAGCGTCCGTCATATTATCCGGCACGGTCGACGGTGGGGGCAGCGACTGGTCAGAGAACACAGAGTAGACCGTCGCATCGGTTTCGAGAAGGGTCTGCTGGCGAGTTCCCAATTCCCAGCTAGAGTGATGGCTATCAGCACACGTTCGCATGTAAGAACTCGAGGCAAGCGTACCTCTGCTGTGCTGCATCTGCAAGTCGAGCCTGAACATTAGAGACCTGTTGAGTGGACAGGCTGGAGCACGAAACTCCAGGCCAAAAGGCAGCAGCTGCTACCAATACTACCCAGCTCCATCTTCCCCCTCGCGTTCCGGTCATGGTGCAAAACGTAGTGGTGGTAGATAGGTGGGAAATAGATAAGAACGGCCTTCACGAAGCCTTGAACGTGGCCAGGTGAAGCAAAGAGCGAAGGCGGCCTGTAGTCAATAGCAAACAGCCAGGCCGAGAGATCGTTCTATCACCATCTTTTTTTCGTGATGCCAGGGAGGTCAGGGCATCAAGGAGAGACACCGTCGCGGCAAGAACGGGAAAGCGTTCCGCTTAATTGTATCAGGTGATCCGGTCCGAATATGATTTAGCGAGACCTTTCTTACCGCCGGGAACGTTCAACAAGGAGGTGCTGGTCTTCCAAAATAGCAAGCTTTCTTCAGAAGAAAAAGTGATTTAGTATACTTTATCGAAAGGAGACTCCCCAGGGAACATCCAGAAACCCTGGGCATTGGGCTCGGCACGCCGCACGGATGTGCGGCGGAACGCAATTTAAACAGTGATGGAGCTTCCAGCGCGGCACTCTTTGGCCGAAAGACGCCTGAGAAGCTTGTGAATAACTTCGACTCTTCTTGCCTTCCGTGCGAAGATAAGATCCTATATAGCTGCCGTCTCCTATAGGAAGGCTCGCGGAAGGCTCTTTTTGCCGGAATAAAATTACAGGGTGATGCGGCGTACGTTATATCAAAGGACCGTACCTGATGTCAAATTTGGTTGGACGATCGGCTTACACGTCTCGGCGCCAAAATTATCCGCTGCGACGCGCGTCGCAACATTGTTAAGAAAGACAAGAAAAACACAGAATATCTGGAGGAAATTAGATGTGGAGGGAAGAACTGTACTGTGAAGCCATACCTCTAGTCCATTCAAAACAGGTTGAATTAAACAGGAACAGCATGGGAAAGGTTTGGAAATAAGCGCCAATTCACATGTGTGGCTCGCTGGCGTCAAATTGATTATGACATAATACAGAAAACGCCAACTGGACAAGACGTACACGTTCATCACCAAGGATACAAGTAATCTCGGTGAAACATACGTTGACCGTTTGATAACCGTCCTGTCAACGAGCTGCTGAAGAGGACATGCGAGTCCTCGAGAATTGCAAGTGAATAAGCGACTCTATTGATCATTTCTGTTGGCCGCATCTTCCGCAAGCTTACTATATGAACTAGTATATGATTAGTTATCAATCACCTTTGATGAATAATGATACAACCCCAATATCAAACAATATCACGCCTCCGGCGATTTCTCCACCCCCAGACAGGGAACGTTTGAGGATCCATCATCCATCGATCCAGAACAACACATTCCCCCGAATAACTCGTCGCCCTCAGCTCTCTAGCTCTCTCAGTCCAACACCTGAACATCGGTACGTCGCCCAGAGCCCCGTAGCACATCGCGATAGCATCGATATGCTTCCGAGACTCAAACAACTGCAACCCCTCCGCCTCTCGTAGCTCTAGCGCACGTTGATGCATTCGAATCATGTAATCATCCGATAGCGATTCGCTTGCGCACCACGTTTCGAAGGTCGGCATGTGCTTACTGAGTTGGAAGAGTTCTTCTCGGGCGAAGTCACTCTGTATGATGGATTCCCGTGGGAGGGTGCAAGTCGGGCAGAGACAGTCAAAGTTGTACCATGTTCGGAGCTTAACGAGGCGTTGTTCACGCTCTACACAGCTGTCGATGTATTGGATCGTGATCTCCTCGTTGGGTCCGATAGCCCGGACTGCTTCGAGAGTCAAGGAAAATGAAGCGGGATCCCATTTCCAGTGAGCGTTCGGTGAGCAGCTATAATGAAAGCCTTCAATATGATTATCACGAAGAATAGAAGAGACTTCCCTACCTATGGTTGCATCGGCTGACCTTGAGGAAAACAGCATGATAAGCAGCTAATTCGGGATCTTCAACGGGCAAGTCGATCAAGAAGGCGTTCGTCTGTATGATAGCTTTCATCGGCTCCTCGAGCGGCTGGGAATTGAACAGATTCATGAATTCGGTCTTTTCCTTGGGGTGGACTTCGGATAACAAGAGAGAAATCATCGATGTGTTGGTAGACGAACTGCGTGGCATGGCGACAAGAGGATGTTCGGCGAGAATGATACTGCCGGCGGGTATGCCACAGCGAGAGAACATCCCTAGGCCTTTGGTCCCAGCGTGTCGGGTTCCGAACGCGAGTTGACGGTGATAAGAAGGCCGATTGAACACTTGCGGTAGGGATTTCTTGACGTCCTCGTGCAGCAGAGCGGCGCATTTAAAATCTCCAAAATGAAAGGTCTGGGTGATAAACCGAGGTTCAAAGGCGCGATTGAAGAGTGTCGAGTAATTCTCTGGTGGATAAGAGTATCGAGAAGAACGACGGCGGTGGGTCTTCGTCATTGTCTGAGAAAGTGGCTTCAAGGTTGAGGAATAGGATATCTGGAGGAACGTCTAGACGCACAGATCGTTTATATAGAACGTCCCGTGGCGTCCAATAGACCATCATCTACGAAGACGCGACAATGGATTGTGCCACCGAGTCGGCACGCGTTATTTGTATATCTCTGTAATTTCTGGTTCGCACAATGGCAGCGTGAAAGAGCTAAAAAGAATCGTACCTCTTCACAACAGCACATGAAAGAGCATAACGGCAAACCCAGGACCGACGTCGAGGTTCAACATTCAACTTGGTCTGGGCTTCTGCAAGTAATTCTAGCTCGATGACAGTGTTTCCTGAGAAAAAGACGTCTGGTAAGAGGCACTCTGAACACGCAAGTATCAGTACCATATTGATACAGATCAGCAATTCGCGGCTTGCCTAGGACAGCGGTGTTGGACCTGACATCAGCGAGAATAACGACTGGCAGTGGTATAGTTCCTTCACAACGCAGGCAAGAAATTCCGACAACGGGATCACCATGAGAAAGTGCAGCAAGGGGGCAACACGTATTCAAAAATTGGCCTTCGCGTTTTAACGGGAAAATACAGGAACACTTCAAGGCCGCCAGATGATAGATCGCAGTATGTTGCGAAGGCTAAAAATTCAAATTCAAATTACGGCGATCAGAATATGACTAATCAAATATCATGACCGTTCGGTCCGGTATACCGGTGCCCTGTCCAGCTTTTGCTTTAACAGCTACCAAATCCAAACGCGCACCCGGTGCAGTATCATTCTCAGGACTACCGGTCTTCACTAGTTCACCGCTTCGCTAATAATATCGATGAACTCTCGACCCTTATTCAATAAAAGTTACGAAGGTTATGCCTATAAACAATAATCAGTAGCTCAAACTTTGGATAAGCGTGGCCGAAGCACGACTGAACGGCTTAGACCGAATATTCGTGTCCTTCATCTAAGAATCCATCTTTCACAGTTCTGATGACTACCAAGCTTGGGCTTGAGCCCCATCCACATCTCCATCCTCTCACCATCTCCTCGGGAACAGGAATGAAAATAGATAGATAGATATCCGGTCGAGGTCCCAAGAAAGCGCGCATGCACTTTTGTGATATTTCATAAACCCGTATTTCATCTTCGCCAGGCATTCAGTCTCCTAAGACCGTGGAACACCGCACGTCCAGGATAACGGTCAACGGTCTACGAGGACGTCGGTGCTCTACACAATGCACAGAACCTTTTATAGCACCTCATGAAACTCGAAGCGAAGCAAAGAACGATCAGATACGGCTGAACGGTACAGCAACGATGTCCTCGTTCTCCGCGGACTACAAGCCGCAGACCATACGGCAATTGCCATTCACAAGTCTATTACGACAGACACTAGAAAGGATTAAGCGAGACACCACACTGAAAATAAGAAGACTGACAGGAACTTGACCGTTGCCTAGCCATCGCACTCTCGGCCTTGTCCCAAAGAACACGCTCCTCCCTCGCATCTCTGTCCCTAAAAGGCTGCGTCTCTCGCAGGAAAATGAGTCTTCCATCCTCCGTGCCCTGCCATCGCGCAATAGCATCCCGGGTCTGACGGGGATCAGGCGTAAACAAAAGTAGCAGCACACAGACACGTAAACTTGTGCAATGCCGCAGAATCAAGGCTACGGTGCTACATATTCGCGATGCCTTGTCCGGGTCTATGGGCTGCGGCTCGGCTCGAACATCAAGTGCTAAATGTGTGAGATTCGAAAGGGAATGAAACCCGGACCACGACGTCCAGTCCGTGGAGTCGTTGATTATAGAAAGGTGCGTTAACCGGGAATAGAAGGGGAGGTTCAGTTCTGGATAGAACCCATGTAGTATCGTAGGAAACGATACCGATAAATGTGTGGGCCGTAGTTGTGAAACAGCTGTCCCAAGTCGTTCAGGCGAATGGCAGCTCGGATGACAGTGCGTCGGGATTTGCGAGGTCGGTACGAAGAATATGGTTAGATGGGTTACACGCGCGCAGGCAGCTAGTATTTTGACAGTGCGATCGGTTTCGGAATGGATGTCGACGGAGAAACAGAGAGATTTTACGTGGTCAAGGAAGAATTGTTGACTTTTGGCGGTCTCGATGGTGCGGAGAAAGTTTCGAATGGTGCTTTCGCGGCGAAGGCTGACGACTTGGTAGAGTATTGGGTCGACCCTATGGTAGTGTGAGCTGGAGACATCGTCAAGGATCGATAGTACGCACCATTCCTGAGCCCAGCTAGATACCTGAACCAAATTCAACGCGATTTGTCTGTCTACCCTGGCGGCATATTCGAATACTTCCTGGAGAATGTCCAACGGAAGGCACGGGGAACTTGCTTCCTCTACGCTCATGCCTCTGTACCAAGAAACGAATAGTAAGCAACAAGGTTCGCCTACTTGCTTTATAGCCGTCGAACAGTAAGAGATCGATAAAGGAGAAGCGGATCCTTTTGGTTAGTACAGTCGTTATTGGTGAACATGTAAGACTGCGTCACGGAATTTGACATCCTCTTTGAGCGGTCCGCGCAGATGTGATACGCGACAAATTAGTCCCACGCATGGAAGGAATCCTCTTTTGGAGATGTTCAGCCAAGTTCTGCGCGGACTCCGTGGAGGTATGAGAGGAAGATCGAAAACCAGGGCGCTTTCGGAAACAGATGGGGACTCTGAGAAAGCATTAGGAACACTTGAATTGGAAATACGAAAAATTATTTGCTTCCAAGCATCCAAGCCATGCGTTGTCTTAGTTTCGGCGGTATATGCTTGAGAGTTCTGGCTACAAGGGGACACAAACGAAGGTCCTGGACGCGTCAAACTCTTACAGAGAGACGAAATTGAATCAATATGAATGTTGTACAGGTTTTGAAGAGAAGGAAAACATACTGAGCAGGGAGATATGGCTGTTTAGATACCTGATGGATTTAACCGCAGAACAAGGGAAGAGAAGAGATCGGACGCAGGGTCAGCTGTTTTGCCACGGCAGTCCGGTGCCGGAAATCCGGTTCTAAATGTTGCACAGCTTCATCGATGTTACGTTCAAACTTCAACGTTGCAAGTTTAAATCACGCGAAGCTCGCGACTTTTCCACGTCTGAACGCTCTCGATGGAAAAAAAAAAGCTCTCTGCCATGCGTTGTTGTTTTTTTTCAACTTAAGAGGTTGCCATACATGGCGACGATAGACGTTTGATATCTGACACTGGATCCGTCCTTCTCCTTATTCATCACCTCGTAAGTGCGCTATGCACAATCTAGGCTCACACTAGTCAACAATGTGATGAACAATGATGTACATCCATTAATAATCTGCTGACGCGAGCGACCGTACCACCTGGCCTCGTCAGTTTCTGATTCATGCCGCTGCATCATGGAGTTTATATGGGGTGCGTCGAATTTCAAAGTAGGTTCCGATGCATGGTCTAGTCTGTTTCTTGTTGATGGCTTGGCTATTCTCACCGATAATTCTGGGATTTTCGTTCAGTCGGTCAAGACCTGAAGTCTAAGGTCGGTAAGACCTTTCATGAGACTCATACCCTCACTCGCCTGCTCTTTGTCAGGGTTTGACTCTTTGTGTGATCACTACTTTGATCTATCTAATCTCAGGATCCCAAGAATTAATTTCTAATCATACTGAACTAAGCTCATACGTGCCATCATACCTAACCACCCCTGCACCGGAATGTGAGGTGCCAAGGTTTGAACTCAAGAAAAAATACGCTGCTGAAAGCGGATACATATCACATACGGCTACACTTTTCACGATCATTTCCCAAGACTACTGACTGGTCCCCATTCAACGTAACGCTCGTAGTGTGTCATACCACTAAGACATGCCTGACAACACGCATGAGATGACACATTGCATCAGTAGCATATAATAGAGACGCTCACCACTTTGTACCATCGTTCCGAGGAGTCGATATGAGGGAGTTCACTATGGTTCACGCCCAATTTTGCATAGCAGCGCTATGTAGAGAGAATGTCATAACACAACAAACATCACAGAGGACAAAAAAACGTACATGTGGCGCAATCCTATTGAGTGGCCTCCTTTGGAGTCCTGCCTTAGAGGTGATCACGCCCTCCTTCTCGTCTTTCAAGTACTCCTCGAAAGACTTTGACGTGTCGTGAAACAATATCAGGTTTTTCATCATATCATGTACCTTCCGGTCTAGAGGGGAAAGAGTAGCTGGGGAAAATCCCTAAAGAAATGTCAAAATCCTCTTCTGATCTGTAAGGAATAGGAGAACGCTCATACCGCGAATGGACACTCTGACATTCTCTTCATCGCATGTTTAGTGATTGCCGAAGAGGATAAAGGCTTCGCTGATTCTTTCCAAACAGGCCAATTCATAAAGTGGCCAATGATGGCCGCATGAGGGTTGGCCTCGTTTAGCAACGGACCCCAGTCGGTAAGAACAGACATGCCAACGTAATTCTTGTCCACAATATTTGAAACCTCGATCCGGTCGAATCTCTGTGGAAATGACGGGCTGCTTTTCAGAGTTGGAAGAAGGTCCCTAGCGTCCTGATCAAAGGAATAAATCTGTATCTTGAATCGACGAAGGCGTTTTGAAAACTCGACGAGCTGGTCTTTGACGTAGAAGAAAAGACAACCTATCAGATCTTCTTCAGTCGTGCCATGGGCCTTTCCGGCGTTGAACATCTCATCGAAGCTGAAGTTAGGATAAGCACAAGTAGGAGCAAAACGAGTAGATGGAGGTACTTACTCCCATCCATCGAAAGGGTGGGCATTATCGCTGAGCATGAGACGTCCATCTTGAGTAAAGACCCATGGGTTAGGAATAGCCATGTGGGCGTTGATAGCGCCAAAAGGTAGGATTAATCCATATGAACGCCATTGCTTGAATGCGAGCCTATGGGAAGGCTTCATTCTTGCATAGTACCGGTCACGGTAGTCCTCTCTCTCTGGTGCGTTCATGATGTCATTCAAGGCGTTATTGGCCATAGGGGGATCCATATCCTTCGGACGGAGTTTATCGAGGAGAAAACTAACTGTGTTGGAGGAGAACATGTTGTACATTGTGGTAGAAGGCGTTAGCTGAGTGGAGGTGCCGTCAAGATGCCGAAATATCTGGGACTGAAGGATGGACAGATAGATACGTGTCTCGTAAGAGAGAGGCTGGAAGATGGAGTACCAGAGATGAAGGGCGTGTTCGGCTGCTTCCTCCTACAGAAAGGAGCTAATCAGGGAGACTAACTAGATAGTGAGCAGTGTACACACAACGTCTTCGATAATCCCGAGAATGGATAGGATCATGAGATTCCTGGATACGACGATAGGATTGAAGTCGTTGAGCACTATTTTGATTGTCCCGGCGTAGTCTCCTGGTAGCTCATTGATGGTTCTGACGACGTTTCGCAGATCCCCGGAAGCTATAGATAAGTCAGATATATCAAATAAACTGTGGATCTCGGACGCACCTATAAACGCCAGTGACAGGTCTCTGTTCCGTATGTCTGCAACGCCCTCGTTATTGACTGCGTTGACGATATCGATGGCTGCGGTATTTCCCCATCTAACATTGTATTAGCGCTGGCACGCAATGGAACTAGCAGAATGAAACGTACAAGATCAAGCCCATTCCGAACACGGACGGTGCCCCTGGTGGCATACCTGGTGCGGTGTCGTCATTGTCGATGAACTTTGGGGTTCTCTTCTCTCTGACCCATGCCGGTGACCACTCAGGCGATCTAATCATGTTTCTACAATCTTCAACACGTCAGTTCTTTCTCGAAGATAAACTGTAGGAGATAATGACTACCATATTTGTGCGATCTCCAATCCTTCAACTGACATTCTTTCGAGCAATATCGGACGAGGAGACACCCGGAGCAGCTCATCGTCCCGTCTTTATAGCAAAATTGGGACTTGGAAGTATCCTGGTTTGCGCAGCTGAGGCGACTCAAAGGTGGTGGCATCGGCGTACCGAATTCCAAGGGTTTTCGACTGGACAGTATCCTCCCTACCTCGATCATCTCTTTTTGGAGACCGTGACGTTTAATAATGTCGTCGAGTGCTTTCACGTATTTGGCGTCCTCCAAATTCGGAATGGTCTTGGGAGTATTAGGGGAGGGAAAAAGGACATTAAGTGGCTGCTTCGAGTCACGTTCACGTTTGTCCAAGAAGGAAAGGAGCGTCAATTTCTTATCGTCCTTTGAGGAGAGTTCAGAGAGAGACTTGTTGAGACTGTCGAGGGCCTGCATGTTGGTAGTCATGATGTGTAGGTGATGGATGGCGGATAACGTTCTGATCTCTTGTAGTGGTTCACACGTTTCCAGGGAGTCCTCACGGTGTCTATACGGATTTCGTCATCTCCCTGAAAATAGGCGCCCAACATTCGGGCACACACGAGACCGAACCTAGCCGTACAATTTGAGATGCAATGCAAGGCGGAAGTCAGAAGAATAATAAACGTACCAATAGCATGATGTTGGTAAATTTAAAATCTCAATATAGGCGTCCAACTCCAGTCATTGGTATCACTCTGCTGATAGAGCTGTACTAGTCTGCAGCAGCCATTCAACGCGTACTGCAGTGCTTCACCGTGCTGAGAAACGGAGGAATATATGTTTGGCTCGGAGGAAGAAATCAAGGCGTTGACGCGTCCTTCATTTTCAACCCAAATCCAAATTGGTCCGAAAGACCGGATCAGCTTACGTCACGGTCCGAAAGGTCCGAACTCGTCCCTTATCAGAGCATCCTTGCTGACGCATGAACAATTCTCTGAGCTCTCTGTAGTACCTATATCATTCCGATGAATGATTATCTGTTAGTTCACGCCAACAGTGTGATAAACAAAAATTCATCCTCACCGTCACTTTGCTTGCGTGTTAACTGAGGTGCTTCCTACACCTAAACATTGCCGCGTTCTGATGTGCAAATAGGGCAAGATTTCAGGGGCCTGAGCCTCTCGTCAATCTGTCGGACCGTGCATGGGTGTTGAAGGGGTTTCCCTTCTTCCTTTGTCATTCCTCTTTACCATCTATCATCAGTAGCTGCATATCCACGCAGAAGGTGACTCTGGCCATGAAATCCTCAAAGGTAATGCATTGAACTCTGAAGCTTCTGCAGACCAAAAGAAAGCTCTTAAAGGTAACGTCCGCTTGACCTATCAGTCCCGTAGTTAAGTCCGAATTCGCTTCATGTCCTCGTTATGGGCTTGCCAGGCTCCGGAAAGTCGACAATTATCAAGGTTCGCTCAGAAATTTACATTTTTCTTTATTAATATAGTATCAACTATGGTTCAGAACTTGCAGGTTTCCGCTTCCTCTCAACAGAATTCGATCGACCCTTTCAGCACTGAAACTAACAACGACCCCAAGGATAAAAACAAAGACTTTCCTTTCAACCTGCTGACGAGCAGTGAAGTGGCTCTGGATATCGAAGGAAAGGACCGTCGCTTGGCCGAGATTAACGATAGGTGGAGGGAGGGCACGTATGATTCGAAGGAATTTAAATGTGTCTTGCTCATCGTTGACTTGAGCGCGTATGACCAATTCACTGGAGGGAAGCAGGACGCGGTACGTTCAGATCTCTTTCATTTACTCGCCCTGATTGTGATTTTCTTAGAATATCATGGAAGACACCATGAGAGAATGGAAGTCCGTATGTGATTCCCAAGTGTTTAAACATGCTTCTTTGGTAAGCCAGCCACACTTATTCCCCGTTTGAGGTGTGTTTAAAATATTCCAGTCTGTTCTTCAACAAGAACGATGCTTTTAAGACGAAGATGCCTCTCGAATATCAGGAGTTTCTTTCCGGTGTGTTTTCCCTACGTGTCTATTGATATTACCTTAAATTGCTGTAGGATATTTCCGGAGAGGCAGGTGATGCTCATGCAGGTCGTGAATACTTCATAGAATGCTTCGCAAGGCTAACGAACGGCAGATGCTATTTATTCGGTGGGCAGAATATAGTCCTCCCGAGGCACGATTTTTGATACAAGATGTAGGGCGAGTTGCGCCACGGATACTTCCCTTCTTCGTGATCTTCTAGGTGTACTTGAAGGTATGGTGAATGAATATCTTGTATCTATCTAATTGTCTCTTACTACATCTTCAGTGTAAGTCTGTCGCCGTTCCATAATAGCAACTCTCAAAAGATAATGCATTGCTGCCAGGACGTCAGAAAATGCCAAGTTGGTGAAAGTAGGGTCTGAAAAAATAATAAACATGGAAAGGCCGGGGGATTGGAAATGGGCTCAATGAGTAGTGATTGACATTGGAGCATTATCTAACTAATCCCGTCTATGTGTCTAATTGCTAGTATTAAGAATCAAGATTAACAAATATGATAATGAGCGTCAAGCGACCAGAATCTGAAGAGCATGAAGAATCATATAGCAGTGGGATATTCTGTAGGCATTGGTATGCGGGAAATCCAGAATTGAGCATCTCTGTGAGGTTGTACTATGCTGCAATATCCGCACAGTAAACCCACCTGCAATCATCCTTTATCGGGGACGACGGCATTCTCGGGCCGACATGCTCGTCGTTTTGCGGTGGTAAGATTTATCCTGTTAACGTACAAAGTCTGCATCCAGATATGCACTACTTACAAATCATGAACGAGGGCCTTGGGACACCCAAGAATGAAGAAATAATGCGATAAGGAGAGTCACTCGAACAAGCGTCGAGTCAACGAGCACCGTGATAACGCCGCCAATGACATAGATACACAGAGAAATTCGTGACATAGGTGAACCGAATTCCGTGATACCTTCGAGACCGAGAGTCAGAATATCAAGCGGCAACGAGTCCAGATTGAGCGCCTACTAGAGGATTCGGAGCTGCTTATTCCGTCGGGTTCTACTTCGTAGATTTGAGCTTCTGATCGAAAAATATTGAGTACTGAAAAAAAATATAAAAGTTGTATATCTCACCTCTGAGCGGATCATGATTACGATCTTCCAGCTTTGAGATATCTGATTCGAGGACCTCTAGCATGTCAGAGTACGCTTTGAGCTGTTCCCCTGGAAAACGGATTTAGCCTTTAGCGGAGCATTATAGGAACTGCTCACATGGCACAGTACTGGCGGTTTGAGTTATCGTAGAACACCCGCTGATACCCCTAGATATCTCCGTACTTATCGCTGAAGGAGGTGTCAGTGCAGGCTTTTAAAAGAACGCTGTACGGAAATATACCTTCATCTTCGATGAGACGCGCGGATAGCTCCGATTGGTTCAAATATCTCGCAACTTCAATACTCAGGGGGTGAAAGCCGCATATCTTGTGGAAGAGAGTGCTGCATTCAAGACCGAGAGGGCGATGAAATAGTATGTCGTGGCCAACTTCTGTCAGTGCTACAGAATATCCAGAATGATTATTCGGTGCGTCTATAGTGAGTCTAGCACCATATGGATCACTGGAAAGGTAGACGTCTGGTGCACCGAATCCATGATTCTCAGTGAGGGGAGGAACGCCAATAAACAGGTATGGGACGCTGGAGGGTGGCCAGTCAATATTCGAGGACTCTGTCTCTACGAGAATTTGAAAATATCGCTGAGTGACTAGGGCATACTTTCATTACTTCGGCCATTTCGAGAACAAGGATTGCATACCTTGCGTGACGATTAGATGAGGGTGCGAGACGCCGGAACTCATGAACATCTTGGCCAAAATTCGCGGACCCTGTGAGAACCAGTGGAAGAAACATTCCCGTTTTGCTGCTGTTGTCAGGCTCATGGAGCAAAGGAAGTCGACGGCATCGACGCCTTCCGGAAGAGTGTATCTGATAAATAATTCATTTCAACAGATACAGGACGAACGAAGCAGTGAGACTTGCCGCCAGACGCCGCTCGGGAGCTGGAGAAATTTCCCAGCTCCAGGCTGTGAGATCACCGAGATCCGGACGGGCGGGTGTTCATCTTCAAGGGAGTCGATGAAGAAATGACGGTCCGATAGAGTATCGCTTACAACGATCTTCCCAAATATCATTTCATGTTCAAGGGGCGAACCGACGTTTGCATGAAGCGACGTTCCCACTGAAAGGATGTCGTAGTAGGACAAGAGATGCTCCTTCACCATCACAGGCTCATTCCGTCGTCGCATAAAAAGATCGAGAGAATCCCGTATCTCTTCCGCAGCCGGTCGGAACAGGTCAGCGAGGTTTTTTATATAAATCTTGTCCCAGTCCGGCGAGACTTGCAAGTCGTCGAACAAGAGACGTCCATCGGGGGTACAGCGAACGTCGTTGAAGCCCTGTTGCATTTAGACAGTTAGCACGACCAAACCGTAGATGGAGATAAATAAAAGCCGCTTACAAAGGTCAATTGAAGACATGTGAGTGAAAATCTGAAGGCACTCTATTGGACTACCGATCAGATGTTTACTCGTTCACAGCGGACGGATCGCTACATACGTGGAATGCATGGGTCTGCGGATCGGTCAGTCTGAAGGCGAGGGTGACTTCGATAATGGACCATACCAATACAAAATGTGCGAGAAACTCGAGACGTTTCTCAAAGAGCTTAGGAAACTCTGACAATGGCATTTCCCCTAAGGCTCGTTCAGTTATTAAAGCGTAGGAAAGCGCAAATCCATACCAGAGTTTCCGTAGAATATCAAGGAGGGCGTCTGACCAGGTTCAACAACCCCGTACAGCTGGCGCAAGTTTGGATGTCTTTTGCCGGTGGTCAACTTTCGGCAGTACAAAGAATAGGATTACTGACCTTCCGACTTGGGTGTGAATATCTAATTGCTGCTTCCACGCCTTCGCTCCTATGAGTTCATCGCAAAGACATTCATCGTCTCGAAACTTACCACGAGACCCAGAGACCCAGAGTATTCCTTCACAACCATGATACGGCCCAACGTGGAGACATCCGCCGTAAATTTGATGACTTCACCAATCCTTCTGCTGCTATTGTCAATAACCTCTCTGTGCGACCACATTTCCCGGATTTGAATGTCGCTGTGAAGGAGATTGTGGAACTGGAAATGTTCATCAGTGTGTCATATCAGATTGGAGAACCATGCATGCGGACCTTGTTGTTGACGACAGTCTTTCTTGTATTAGCTGTAATATGGGAAATGTCGCGCTGGATACCACCCGCCACGTTAACCAGGTCCGTTTGCATAGATTGAAGAGAAGCGATCCCATGCTTCATGTGGGAAACGGACGCATTAGAGTTCAGGGATAGTGAAAGCTATGGCATTGATTAGCAGCGTGTATCTTTGGGAAAGCAGAACACAGACGAGAAGGTTTGACTTCGCGGCTTCCATAGTTTGTCGGTGACCATTTATTGCATCTCTAACGCTCTGTGAAGTTGGGAACCGCTTGATACTTTTCCATGTCCCTCTTTGACTTCGATAAATATCGCGCACTTCAGTGGTCAGACTGGATAGAAACCTGCATTGACGTATATTAGAAATGGATATTATCTCAGCGTAGAAAGGATAATGACTCTTGGAATTCCAAACAAGATTTTCGAAGATCTTCAGCATATGTGATGCCCTCGGGCACCGCGGACAATTCGATAACGGCATCGCGAACAATAACCAGGACATCAGTAATATCTTTAGCCAGCTCCTCCGCGTCCTCCTTATTCGTTCCATATCGCTGCCGAGATATTATCAGCGATGCAAAACAGCCGTCGGAAACACAACCAACCTCTAGGTGTGGCAGAAAAACTAAGGCAACGCCGCCAAGGCCCTTCAAGAAGCCACCGACAACTGGCACCATGTCACCGAGTGCAACCGTCACCTTGGCGAACTCAATAGCAACTGTTATCGCATCTTTGGAGTTCTCGGAGCGTTGCTTGGATTTTTTCGTAGAAGACATCGGCTCGTTCATGTCGGAGGAGGACAAGAATCGTTGAGAGGCGTTATGCCTTGGTGTGTGGCAGGTGGCGGCATCGCCATGAAAGGGTTAACAAAGGATTTGTTGGTCCCTGAGTACACCACGCGGGCTTCGATCCTCTCTTCGATTTCTTGTACCGCATATGGCAATCCATTGGGGTTTGTCGTGTTACAGGCAGAGGTCCTCAAGCAGAAATCGCAAGTCTGAGTAGCAAATACATGAGAATTCAATGCCATTAAACAGGATGTACATGCAATTGTCCTAGTGGAAAACTCTCGGCCAGATCACTTCGTCCTACGGCCCGGAAGATGGCTTGAATACGCCACTGACGGACGCTAACGCCATTAGGTAGCTCATCGTCAGGGTAATATCCTTTGAAGTACACATAGCTCTGAGGGAATGTCAAACTGGCAATGTCCTGAGCCGTTACGAGGCGTGGAAGTATAACTTCGGACCCACCCTAATAGTAGCATTTAGTTGAAAAGAAATAGGTGAGGATAGGGATACAGACTGGGCCCGGTACCGTTACCGTTGCCTCCCAGGGCTTCGTCCTATCACGAAACGGTACCTCGCTGAAAGGCCCGGTAAGGCCCGTAAGTGAACTTGAGTTACGGTCCTATCTGCAGAATGAATGATGGGAATGAAGCACTAAGATTAGGGAGGTACCTTTCGGCTGTCAATCAGCAGCTCATTAAAGCCGGTGATCAACGTATTGACTTTGCCTTCCAGCCTATTGATCTGCTTTTGCACTGGCGCAAACCAGACAGCTAACATTCAACTAATGAGCATCGATACATTGCGATATTGAGATGGTAACGGACGGGCACCTCCATTTTCAATTGAGCGGAGGGCAACAACAGTTGCATTCGTGACGCAGGCAACATTTACGTAGCCTGAATCATTTGGAGCAGGCGACCGACCTAGAGCCTCCTATCAGCGGTTGAAGGCACGAAGAAACGGGATGTTACGCTAGGCAATACTGGCCCTCTGAGCGAGTCGATAGGCTTCGACAACATCGCTGTCATTGGGCGGTTCATTGGAAGGAAAAGGCCGCTCTATTTTGCTAAGCATCGCCCTCTGGCAGAGTGACAGTGTTTAAGTTCGCTTAATAGTAGCCATTGCCAAGCATTGCCAAACAACGCCGCTGTTCGGATCGAGAATGGAACTTGCCGGAGGTGACGTCACCCCGACGTTGACCCACCATGCTTTCCTTGACTCTGGGTGGTGGCGAGTAGTGTCATAGATGCTGCAGGATCTCTTTGATGGTGAGACGAAGCTATCAGATACCCAAGCTTGGTTCGCGGTGCATAATGGGGATGAGCAAGATTAGAGAGAAGATTGGAGGCCTTAAGTACTCCTGCTCTGGTAAAAATTTCATGTTCATCTTTCTTGACAGAGCTGAGGCTCATTGTCGTGCTTGAAGATCAACCACAGACGAGTGTAAGCTATACGTACTGTAATAATTTGTGGTATTCTGCGCCAGTACATTCCGCAAGCGAACATACTAGTGGAAGGCACTTTGACTGCAATTGTATCGGAGATGCGTCCGGCAGGTTAGATAGGTTTAAAGCTTGCAGCCCCTTGGAGACGTTTTCCGGGGGGCTGCTTTTGGCTAACATCGGAGTCCTAAGTGAGCGACGCAATTAGAGAATTTTGGAGTAAGAAAGGTACGAGACGTGGTCCCCTTTCTGGAGCACCACGGAACGAGCCCAAGCAGTACCATTTCTGCGCCCATAATCAGAGCTTCCGTCATCAAGGCTTCGTTCGTCCCGGTATTCCGCAACGAATCAACGTTGGATATGTAGGATGCCCCTGCCAAGTAATTTTCTCGGCCGCTCTCTTCCCTGTGTTTCCTTCTGCGTTTCCTGCTTTAGATACTGCAGCTCCTGCGTTCATCCGCAAGGCTACTTCCGAAGCTTTCGGTCCATAGCTGGAGTAAGTAGCGCGGCTCCCAGTTCATCCTTTAGTTCCGTCTATAGCAATGCGGTCGCTTATCGCATAGTCATCGATGGAGCGTTGAAACTCGTTAAAGATAGAGGTGGGGACGGCGAACTTAGATAGAAAACTATAGCTCAGGCAGTGGTGGCTCAAATCGGTAGCGGAGAATATATGTCGAGGGTCGACGATGACTCATCTTCTCATCACTGCGCCACTGTGTTTGGACGAGAGTAACTGCGTTCGAGGACCAATAGATCCATGCTGTAGTTGCTGCGGCTGACTTGCATTAAAGACGGAAAATTTGGCGCAGAATGGAACGTTCAGTCTCAGCAAACGACTGTATTATGACAGCGATAAAAAAGAGGGCCTAAATGCTTGAAATTAACATTCATATTCCTTTAGTAGCAGGCTCTGCGTACCTGGATAAATCAAACAGATGTGAGAATCCTTCAATGATCCTGCATGAATCTTGTCGGCCCGATACATTGCCCCAGTATATCTGAAAGTGTGGCTCCCGGAAGAGATGGGAAGAATTTCGACCTCACCAGGTCTATCTTTCCCACACAAACCTAGAGCTATTGAGTGCCGAAGCTTGTCGTCCCGTATCCTGGGAAAGAATGGCAGAATGAGGTTTGGATAATTCCTGAATATACAACCAATGATCACCGGTATTATTACGCGTTCACAAATCAACATCAGCATGCTTCATCAATTCTGACACCTCGACATCTGTCACACCGTTAACACTGGACTAACAGTATGCAAGAATACTCACGATCTTCCGTATTCTGCATTCGAGACGCAAAGATACACTCTTTTCCTGTATTAACAATCATGACGATTTCCTTTAACAAAGAGAAATACAATGCTTACCCGGTCCAAAAACGAAGTCGCCGCCCAGCTGGGAGATTTTTCCCTGCTTTCCGATGAGACTTGGGTTCTTAAGTGGCCCTTGCTACGGGCCATCAGGTCTGAAAGAAAGAATTAAAGAGATAAAACGGTGTACTTACAAAAGTACTAGACACCGCGTTATAAAATGCGCCGACCTTAAGATAACTGCGTCTCTCTTTCCCAGTCGGAGTCATAGCAAGGTTTTCTATATCCATACCGAGAGCGTGGTATAGCTTTCGAGTCGGGTCTGCATAGATCTGACCCGGAAATTTGGCCGATTCTGAGGTTGGAGTTGTATTTAGTACCACCGGAAGATCATGTATTTTGAACCTTTGTAGAACTTGATAGCATCAGGATGCCCGCATCCGATGACTATAATTCGAGCGTTGGCTTTGTCGAGAGATTCCTGTGGTACAGAGGCAAGCTCTTCGACGTATTGCTGTACAAAAGTGAAAGGCAGGCTTCTGAAAGTTTTGGAAGAATGGCATACCTTGCACGACTGGAATGACCTCGCCATTAACGAGCGACATAAGTGAAAATTTCACGGTCACGCACTCCACAGAAAAAGTGCCCTAATACGAGAGTCAGCATGTAAGAGGTGCCGACTGTAAAGTGCCTCAGCTAATGAAAACTACGACAACTTTTTCCGGCGGATCCGAGGGAAGAAGAGAGCCAAAGTTGACTGTGCTGCCTTTACCATCCAATATTTCGAGTTCAAAGGCCTCCGCGAGGGCAGATTGCTTGGGTATTTCGTTCATGAGAGACATAGACGATGTTGGTGTTGGTGTTGGCGCAGGTGATGGTTCGACGACGGTTACCGGTTCCGGGCCGGGAGAGAATAAGTATCACTTGTGACGTAACGTCACTCGACTTCTTGAACGCGACTCGAGTGGCACTGTTCACCTACCGACCACCTCAGGCTCATCAGAATATACCTTTCTGGCACTCAAATTGGCTATGTGTTTCATAGAAAAAGCTAGAGCGATGTTCACAATTTACACCAAGGAAAAACAGATCACGAAACAATATTTCGACGCAAAATAGTTGGAACTTGGTACTGGAATGGCCCGTAGTTTATTGCTGCCGAGTCTAGAAGTACGAAACTAGACTTTAATCCAACTAACGCACATGTTTTGTGTTGCCTGTTAACCGTGGTATAAAAATAACAATTAAATCCCAACGCTCACCGTGTCACGTTCTACCCCACCAGTGACGGTTCCGAAGCCTGAGCTCAATATTTGGTGAGGCGTGACCAAAACATAACTGAAGACGGAAGCTAAATACCACCTTGTTGATAGTCACCTGCACCAGCTGTGCGAATTCTTGTCATTCAAGACCTTCAGAATTTCTGGGTGATGCGTCCTTTTTCGTAACGCAATCACTGCTTCCTAGCCATATTCTTAGACGAAAACAAGCATGCTTCTATGTTCTTCCTTTCCCGTATCGCCCTCTTCTGGGCCTTGATCGCTCTTCCCCCTCTCTAGTCAGCTCCTCTAGTTGCCTTTGCATTTCCGCATGTGCATTCGTTCCACATCCTCACGATAATGAAACTGGTCTTGGACATCCGTAGGCTTTAGGGTGATCTCAGGGCCATCGTCGAGGCAAGGAGTGCCCCGATGAAGAGGTCCGCCAGGCTTTGAAAGGTATGCGAACGTTTGTCACAGGTTGCTCATGGTTTCGGCTGCATGTACTCCGTGCTTGGATCTGGGCAAAAGGGGTAAGAACCAGGACGCGAATAGCAGTACGATGGGTACCTTTACGGACACTCGGTTGCCCGGAGGTGGAGGAGATTATTGACTGTGGTAGCCACTGATTGAAAAACCAATATATGACGTACGTATAAAAATAACGCATAGCACTCGGCTGAGGCGATGTCATTGGAGGAAAACGGCAAAGCATCTACTACGTCGTACTCGAGACGTTCTCGTTTTGGCCACCTGGGACAAAGATGAACTTGAATCTAACAAGAGAATCAAATATTCACATCCGTCATTCGCGCTACCCTCTGCTGACGAGGAGATCGGTCCAGGCTATGGACCATCTGTTCGACACGATAACGAAGGGATGACCTCATCAAGCTGGTGTCTCCAAACAAAAAGAAAAAGAGCAGAACGGTTTTCCTCTGCTGCTCTAAGTTTTTCGTTTCCAATGTCGTAGTTATTGGCCGTTTGGACGCGTTTAGCTGGAGGTGTGGACCTAAGAAATGGAAATACCAGATGCCGTATCTGGCTGTGCGAGTGATACACACGCACCGCAGGATCTTCCATTACAAGCATAATTATTGTCCTCCAATGACGCCTTTGACCTCGTCGGTGCGCGATAATTAAGTAGGGCTGGGAGTTTGCGGTCTTGAAGACTATGAGGTTTGCTACTTCGAAGAGAACACCGCAGAATCGATCTCAAATTTTGACAGAGAGTAACGGGACGGCCGATGCTGTAATAGTACGTAGCCTACTGCCGCTGAACCTAGAAGGCAAGGGAATGATGATGACGATGGTGCCGGCATGTCGGCCACATTACGGATGCCAAGGCCAACTATATCCGTTACCGGCCCGGCCTAGCTTGATTCCCATAGAAATGCTTTCAACTTCCATGACCATCAACTTGCTTGCTTCACTACTTGCTAATCCGATATCCTCGTCGTTTATGTGCTGCTTCTGTGATAACAAGGCACATGGACATTCCCAAAAATCCACGTTGGCCTGGCTGGAACATTTAAGCCCCGAGTGACGGTCGTGTGCACACAAAAAGCTCATTTCTTATGAAGTTCTCTAGCTACGCTGTCGTCCCTTCCTGAACTATTCGAAATTGATATGATGCAGAAAAACTTCAGGAGAGTGCTAGGAAGATTACGCCAAAAGGTATGAAAGGAGTCTTCTCGGGATTCTTGTTGGCACTGGTTCGAGTTATTACTTTGACAATTTCGTACACCTCGATGGTGCACTTTGGCATTGGGCCACCCTCGTGCTCTATCCGTCTATGGTATCCTATTTCTCCTCCACTCTAGGACTTTCTATATCTTGCTCAAGAAGCAATTGCCAATGAATGGCACACCTGCGCCATGAAGCGTTCTTCCGACCATCCCCCAATTTGTAATGAGCTTCGTCAACGACTGCTCAATATTTATCATGCACGGAGGTTGGCTCGAGCAGCGTGAGCACGACCTCGTCTACTTCGCTATTAGTTCCTGAGGTATATTCCGCTAGGTCCGGATGTTATTAACACTTGAGCACGGCACGCTTCTCAATTCTCACCCAATCAAGAAGTGGAAAGACACCCACAAATATGGATACAAAGTCTACGGCGTCATTGGCAGGTGGACATCGTGTGCAACTGGGAGGCATTGCCATATTTTACAAAAATGCTATTCTTAATGGCGTGAGGGAACTCGGTCCTTCTTAGACGGTCTCGATCAAAGAAGTAGATTTTCAGGGTAGTAAGGTGTTCATTTCGGAATGCCTTGCCAACCATTTAAGGACTGGTCCGAGATTGACGCGAACGTCTGGGACAAAAAAATTCGAGCCTACCCTGTACAGTAAAGGTGATGAAACTCTAAGTGTCATTCTTTTGGATTTCCGCAAGGCATTGGCGGACCTGCCAGTAGTTCGCCTCGCTTAATCTTGACATTGCCTCCCGGGCCGAACGAACATGTCTGCACGGCACTTCGTTTACATACAGGCGCCTCGTCGTGATTGCAGTGCTCGAGGCCACCCCAGATATGATACACCAACAACACGTGAATACCGCAGAGCATTCGCTATTCTATGTCCACCGTATTCGCGGGCTTCCTTCCTGCCTGAGCGGAGATTGTATATGAATATCCCATAATTGTATCCTCTACATTTTGTGTTGTCTCGCATAGGACCTCTCAGACGCTCTTCCCAAAGTTTACTCTATCGAAACCATCATATTTGTTCAAGTATCGGTGCGGATTTCCATTGCTACGAACCAACAGAGGCAGATGATTTGCCTTGAGGCTGATTCCGACGTCTCACCTAACAGTCATGGCCAGCCAGGCGAAGAGGACAATAGTTAAGATATATTACTAGCCACGTAAGTGAATATTAATCAAGGAATTTTGATATGTATCTTGAAAGGCAGTCGAATGAGATCAGATCTCTGTCCGAAGACATTATTCGAAGAAGAGTGAACGAGATTGCAGCAGGATTACTTTCATGCAACAGGTCACCCAAATCTTGAAATTAAGAGAGTATTCCATTTGTTGTAGCACAAAGTCCCGTACATTACATCTACCTAAAACACTAGCTACAACGATCAAGTCCAGCGAAGAATTAATTACTTATACTAACTAATATCCCTACCATAGAATAATGACCAAAAGGATACAGATCCAGGTAAATGTTTTACTATCGACGATGAAGTCCTTCTGAGCTGTCATGTTCACGGCTTCCCAAAGACCAGCCTCCCCACTCCAGCGTTCTTATCCACCTCAACTCCAATCAAATACGTCTTCTCGCCCAGCCAATCAATCCTCCTAACGCCACCGTCCCATCCACCCCCAAGTTTCCTACACCGTGCCTCGTATGCCCTCGCCGCCTTCAGCTGCGCATGCGTACCATGCCCCAGTACTTCCCACTCTCGGTGCGTTACCCTCGTCGACAAAGTCCTGTGCACGGCGCAGAGGAGGTCAAGGTTCGTTACCACCCTTCCATCCGCGTGCACAACGATTGGCCATGGGAGTTTATTCGATTTCAACACGAGCTTGTCAGAGTTTGCCGGATCAGTGGCTGGCTGAGATAGCGTATGGGCAGGGATCGGCGTCTGAGTTTTTCGGTCGACGACGGACTTCGAGGACGGCGTAAATGTCACGTTGTACCATATTGGCGCGTGGCATTGACGACTCGAGGCGAAGAGAGGATGCATGTGGAGTGCCTCAGGTCGGTTGGGATTAGCGAATGACACGTGATCTGGTAAAGGTTCGTTTAATGAAAACTGAATACGCAAAAGAGACGTACGCTGTATACTCGTACGTGCATTCGAGTGGGAGGTCTTCTTCAAAACGGGGCGAGGCGAGGAGTTGCTTGTACTGGCGCTGTTCGTTTTCGGAAACGAATCGGGTGGTGACGAACTTGACGAGCTTGTACGGGAATGGTTACTTTGTGGTGATGCATTTGGAAGATAGATAGAGTATGGTGTAGCTAAGACCTTGGACTTAGTTTTCTGCTGAATAGATGTAAGGTATGAAAATGACGTACGGCGGTTGTACTTGTAACTGACGATGCGAAGCTCTTGGGAATGATGATGACCATGTTTGTTGGTGTGTGAAGGAAGTGATGTGTAAGAGTAGCCCTTGGAAGGAGAAGGAGCATACGATAAAGAATTACTCCTTTTCCTCTTCGGAACGTGCTTTGTTGACGTTGTACTGGGAGTGGTCTCCTGCCTGCAACTCCGAGGAGTGGAATGAGAACGTTGACGCGGTTTAGAATCGTCTGAGAGCGATGCGCGTCGTTCGCTGCCTCCAAAGAGACTGCGAAAATAGGATGCCATGAGATTGAGTGTCGCAACAGCGGGTAGTAGAAAGATGTATCGCAGGAGGTAGTGGTTGAGGTCAGAGTTGTTAAATACCAACAATGACTCGGCCCGAGTTCGAAGTGATGGATAGATGGAGTAACGAAGAAGACCTATCCGAACGATCCAAGGCGACCAAAGGGGGAAAATACATGGCAAATCTCGACGTCGGCAAGCTATAATGACCGCCCAGACGAGGAATCTTTGCCCAACGAAGTGGACTCGTGAGGTAAGAGAAGGCGCGAGTATGGCGGACGTAGAATAGTCAGCGCGTGGTATACACGTGTTGTTGATGTACCGAACATCCAGGGCGGCCTTGAGCACTGATCAGTGATCCCAGCAGGTGGCGATATGCGAATACAGCGCCATCGAGAGGTGCGACTTCTGTCAACGTCTACCCAAAACAGACGGCATCATGGTTCGGCACAGTTGAATGGTACTCGCACCCACCTTCTTTCCGGCATTTTCTTAAGGAAGGCCAGGAGGCCCACATTACTGAAATACTGAACTGTTGAACGGGTTTGGCGTGAAACTTGAGCTGGTGATACGCGAACGTCGTTCAATTATTCGGTTCGGCAAAATCTATCCATCTAAAATTAATCGCGCGTCAGTATTGAGCGATAGACGTAAAACGGGACATACCATTGGCAGTTCCAAAATATTCAAATTTTGTAGAATTTATTCAAGTTGAAAAAAACGGCGGTGGTAGTAATTTCGTTGCTAGACACAGTTGACTTAAACAGCGACGCGATGCGACGTTCGGATTCTCCACGACGCCTCGCTGCTGGATAAGTATTTTCCTTGGGCAATGGCCCATACAGCGGCCCTGAAAATCTACTGCCGGTATGTTCCGCAGCAACCCTAAGTATCAACTCGTGCGTTCTTGATTGACCGAATAATACCCGAATATTCTTCATCCATGCCTTCTGGATTCTGGCATTGAGTACTAGATTCAGTGTTCTTCAGGCGCCAGCAATGGTGAATTTGTCGCAGAAACCCGGGAAGTGGAGGACAGCACGAGACCTAACACAATGGAGTCAATGACGATATGGATGAGTTCGGAGTCGCAGTCGTACTTACGATTCAAGCTCCAGGGTAGTGTTTAAACTTTATGACGTCTCTTGTGAATCGGACCGGTTTCGAGAGACTAGAAGGTCCCGAGGAAGACTTCGTATAGACAACAAGTCAATACGAGAGGCAGGGGATCGGCAATGAGCACAAAGAAACGAGCAAGTCCGATGGTTATTATACTCGTCTGGTCGCATCGACGTACATGATCATGTTGTGATCCGCTGCCTGTTCACAAAGAGTCTTCGAGTAAACTTCTGGAACAGAACTGGTACTGCGGTGACGCAAATAGCTGTTCCAGCGCGTTCCAGCGACAGCAACAAGGTTCACTAATACCAGCCCGCCACATACGGATAACTCCCTATGAGAACCGGTAGCACCGACTCGCAACCAGGAATCCAGCGCCTCTCTCAAGCACCTGTCTGATTGACTCATGCGTCTTTTACGCTGAGAATTGATTCGAGCTTCGACTTCGATTGGGGAACCGGATCTCGAGACGCGCCGTGTCAGTTCATCGGTCCGACTAAAGTCATAAGGTTAGCGGAGAGATGAGTGGTGCACTGCGCTGCACCTACAATATCCAGGATCCCCATGGAAAGGCAGCACGGCAGGGATACATTTTTACTCTTCCCCATGGAGAGTTGTTGCGCCTTAATAGGCTAGAAAGATTGATTCAGATCGAGATACGAAACGCCAAGGAGTTCATACCCCGGGATTGGTCTTAAATGGGCTCGGGGTAAGGACCAGCGCTCCATTTTCAAGAAAAGCTGTAAAATAGTCACTCGGCAAAGGCAGAGAAGGGAGACACCATACCAATCCTTGCACTTTGCCTGTCAATGGGAATATTCTTGTTGGCGTCCGCGTATATGTGTAATTCCATAACTTTACGAGTCTTTTAGGTGCAACCCAATCATTCCGTCGTCCATACCGCAAAGCGCACGATCCCGAGGACTTTGAGGGTCTAGCTGACAATCAAAATAGAGGTGCCTAATGATCAGGTATGTCGGCGTAAAGGACCGCAAACAGATATGGACTACCCCGAAGCCAGCGTAAAAAACCTTGAAATGAGCGGAAGCGCTGGACCCGGCCGGCTCCTTCGCGAATCACCTGTATTTGAGGTGAGAATTCTATAACGTATTCTTGTACCTGTACTGACGTACCTGCCCTGCGACTATTACCAGCCCACTAGCAATTCTCCCTCATGGACGTCGTGAGTCCCAGGAACAAAAAGAGAAAAAGAGGATCGCGGCAGTCCACGTGGCAATATTTTCCCATGTCTGTGCCACAGCCTTCCTTCCTACTTTGATCCGGCAGTGAGCACCTTTCTACGCTTTTTATCACCCTTACAGTTGATTTTTGGTTGATTTTTCTTGTTGCCCTCGGATATATCTAGCCCCTGGTATAATTTTACCCTCTCGTAAAAGAGTGGTTAACTCTAAAACATGCAATATGCGTTTCGGAGTCGTATTTTGTTCATCAACTGGCACTTGCTGATTTTGATCAAAGTACCACACGATACGCTCGTTCTCAATGTTGAAGTCCTATTTCAGGACTGAGATACCAGGTATCGTCGGATAAACCATAACTTGGTCAGAGGCACATCTTCCCCGGTACCGAATATCGAATTAGCGTGATCTTGCTGACGGGTAGTGGGTCCTCGCGCTCTCGCTTATTTCAGGTAAAAGGCAGTGATTTTCTAGATGAATTCAACGCAGCACCAGCATATTGTCCTCGGTCAACGAGTCTGTCCCCCGTTTCGCCGACCTCAAACCTTTGTAGAATCCGCTCTCGCGCCGCGAAAGTATGGTACTGTATCCGTCCCCCCATCTTAGTCTCAGTCACAACCATCTTACGCTACATTCTGTGATTTTAGGGTACCCTTTACTTTATTCTTTCTGATTGAGGTCAACGAAACCTGAGGTATCAATGAAATGACCCCCGAATTTCCAGTTGCAGGCTGCAGTGCCTCTAGTCATACCCTTCAGACATGCGGAACTCCGTGTACAAATGTTAGGTATTAGCATGGATGATCATCAATTAATATACTTATTCAATCTTGATATCTGACTTTACAGAGAAACGCGAATCTCCCCTTGTCACGTCGTATACCAACCAGCACTTGATCGAAGACCTTATTCAGCACCACGAACAACTGATCAACCTTCCGATTGCTATGGTACTCGAGTCTGCGTCTATTGGGTCAATGGTGATCCGAAAGAAAGAAGCATTTTGTGTTCATTAACAGATACACATTTCGTTGTCATGGAGAATCTACGCGAGGCCCTGGGGTTCCCCTCATTCATCATCATTACACAGCACAGCACCCACATGCTGTCTAACCTTTCGAAACACTCGCGGATCTACGGTCATGAGGTGATGGCAACGCAATACAAAAGTGAACCACTTACGGCAAGGTCATAATTCCTCCATTGTCGCGTCTGATGATAACCATTTGCGTACCCTGTAGCATCTCAGCTGGAAGTACGCTCTTAGAGGATGAAATACTTACATCTGCCATACGGGTAGTGGATTCGACGACGCCTCTAACGAGCTGGCCAGTAGAGTCGTAAAAGAAGACGCGTGAGCCAGCCTGTATGGATAGAGTATGTCGGTGCCAAGCTCAAAGGAGTGTAGGAGACGCACCGGAAACATATTCATAGACAAAATAGTTTGTGGGATAGGGTAGGCTGCAAGACACGTCGATATAAGTACTTTCAGTCTTATTCCCTCGCAGGCCGGAAAATAACACACGCATTGGATTGGCCCCGAAATGATGGAAACTGTACCAGAACCTTGATATCGGGCAGGGTCATTGATAGTACGGATTGAATGCTCCCATGATGCGATATCCATTGCGGTACATAGACCGCTCATCAACAACAGAGATTTCGCTTCAACTATTTGTTAGAGACGCGCGAAAGAGACCCTAAGTGTAGCATTATCGTCATGAATTGCCTTTTCAGGAACCGGTCGGGCTGCGGAAATGGGAGTCGACCATTCGACCAGAATCCTACCAATGCCACCGTCGGAACTAGGATATGTGGTGCGGAGGCTAGTTTGAAAAACATCGTACAGCCAAATACGACCGCCTCGCGACTGTTACTGCCGAGATAGTTCGAGATCAGAAGTATCCTCATTGGACGTCCTACTTCTCGGTGCGCGTTGACACGGTCTATGAAACCACTTCGCGAACGGAAACTAGAAGTTATTATTATGAGTCAGCTAATGTATCCCAGAGCTCGGCCGACATTGTTCAACACCATGTGTAGGCATAAGGGTCATCTAGCTTTCCCAGCAATAATCATATGTGCACAGTGAATGCTGCATGGAATGTCCGAGGGGCGGTACAGAAATGAGGGAAATATTCGTGCGACGAGGCGCTTTGCTCGAGAAAGCCTCCGATTATTAGTCGAAGAGTGACGGTTCGCCATGCCCTGGTAAAAGGAAGATGCATGCCTGGAGAACGATGCGAGTGGGACCTGGATGGGCGAGACTGCACAGAACAGATGCCGTGCGTCGTGGGCGGTTCCGAGTGATAGCGTCGACTGCTGACACCTTCCCTTTGAATTGCAATATGAGTACCGTTAGAAAGTCGTTTTCCCATAAGAGAATAGCAGCAAGCTATACACTAAATGCATCATGTGACAGCTCGCTCGCGATATAGATAGCTCCGTAGAGACTCGAGCGTCTGCAATGTGTACAGCCTCCGCTGCTCTCCGGAAGAAGTGTATGTTGCCGACTTGGGAAAGATAATCAATATGGAGATATTTGCAGAACAGAATAATAGCTCTTACCTTCCACGCGCTTCGCGCTTTTTTTAATGTGAGAGCACATGACGGGGATCAGGGAATGCAGGGGGGCACGGTAACTTCTTTTATTCTCGATGGTGAGGGCGATAGTCTAGGTGCGAGTCATAGTGGGAATCTGGCATATGGATTGCGTCCGAGATACCACTGTCATGCGTGTTCGCCGTGGGGAAGCGTCAAGGTGCGGTGGCTCTTTTGTTAACATGACTGTAGTGAACTGGGACCTTCGATGGCGAATAAGGTTCTAATCGTGCAGACATGACGTTCCAGATGACCGTGTGATGAACGTCTAGATTGCCCCATGCGATGTGGGTACATGCCATCAAATCGACAAGCCAGCAAGTGCACCGTAGACCCTCCTCCAATTGACTTGAGAAACCTTCTTCAATGAGCGCTCGGAAATAGCTTCGCCGACGAGAAAAACAGTCCAGATGTAGATATCCGACCGAGGAGGAGGGTAACTAAGCGTCTAAGGTTGCGGACCATGATGGAGGTATGGTTGTTAGAATCAGGACGAATTGGTACCCCAATATGTTGGAAGGTAAAGTTAATCATCGTCACTCCGTCGGATTTAAGGGGAGGCAGCCAAACGTACGAAAAACCTTTGCATCGACGAGAAAGAGGCCAGCTGCGAGGGTATCTGCAACGCCATCTTTTGGCTGGGATAACAATATAGCATGAACAAGGTTAGTTTAGGAGGATAACAGTTACTCACCTGAACATTTAGCACCACAGCCAGAGCCTTCGATAATAACACGACAGATTCTTCAGTGGCTGGTGCTTCCTATGTTGCTAATTGTTCATTCTGCTATGGGACGCCGCCGACCGGTACTTGTCGAGTTCCACTGGTCACCAAGACAAGTGGGGTGCATACATAATACTTCTAGGGGACATGAACGGGAGAGACTGAGGCCGGAAGCATTGGAAAGCTAGTAAGACCGCATCTTGACAGTCACTACGACGTAATAAAACCGTACCAGCACGCATCAGCTTTTAGAGAATTATTGTTCCCGGCCTAGCTCCCTAGCGTAATTGAGACCGGACAACAAAGGAGAAAGACAAAGGAGAAAACGAGATCCGTACACGCTATCTCCATGGCAATCAATGTATAAAGCAGGGCTGGAAAACTTACTTTCTAAAAGAGTTGAGTCGTAATTTCGATGGGCGGTAAGAGAGGTTGACTGATTATACGATAATATAGTTGCATCAGATGCAAGCAAAACAGCAGATGAAGAAAAGTTCAACAAGCCGCGGAGTTTGAGCGGAAGAGAATATTCGTGGGTGAACCCGGCCCGAGGTTATGCCGCGCCGACTCGGCATCACGGGGTAAGGTTCGGAATTTCCGAACAGCCTACGACAAGCGTACGATGGATAGCTGGTGCTCAGTTGGCGATACCCATGACTGGGCCTTCATAGTTCTCTCGCTAAAAATATCTTTCGGTGCTATATTTTACTTACTTCCTTCGGTCTATGCCGCAGGTATGGGATGAGTTCTAGTATACCAAGTCCTTGGGTCCCGACTCCCAAGGTGCAAAATCCTCGTTCATGCGATGCTTATGTCCAGATAATGAGTGCGAAAACTTAGTGCGTGCTCAGAATGCTTATTTTTTTCTATTCCTGGTGTTCATCTGCTTTCAGAAAAGTCCCATCATTCTCCGATGTCGCCTTCGTCATTCACACCGTATCAGCCATGAGTGTCATTGAGCACAAAGTCTGCTCTGAGATGTATTTTATTCGGAGCCCTTATTGTGTAACCGAATCGTGGGACCACTAAGCCTACCTGGTGACGAGACGTTCGACCGGACAAGCGCCGGCCCGTCCAGGTATGCAAAAGAAGTGTTAGAATTTATACGGGCGTCGACTTCCCAGTTTTAGAGCGAATGTGTACTGACGGCGTCCTCGCTTCCAATCAGGGGATCGGTTGTAGAAGTTTAGCATTGCGGTGGTCTGCGCATCTAGAAATCCAAGTCAAAATACGTTACATCTTATTTGACTCCAGAGGATGTTTCGAAATAACAAAAACTGACCAGGTATCTACAGTATAATCCTTCTGACTTCGCGTTCATGTTTCCTATTGAACTTAACGTGTTAGGTGCCCTTCTCATTGTTATACATAGAGAGTAGCTCTACGTAAATCCTGATTAAGCATCAAATCTGTGTATTATGTGAGTGGAACTCATCAACATCTCTCTCCACATTATTCCTGATTTAACTCGCCGCGAGTGGTTTCTGAAAAAAGCGGAAACAGTCATTTAAAGAGACATCCGACGATACGGTTTCACCGGGTATAAACGACTCGAGAAAAGCACCGTCAACCCAGTTCAGCGCACCTCATGTCGCAGAAGACAGTCAAGACCATATAGCGAAATTTACGTGAGGTATGATCCCCATTGAGGTAGAGACTTCCAAAGCAGCCAGACTCAATAAGGCATTATAAATAATCAAAGGGAAGAATTCTTTCTTTTGACGAGTAACATAGGACTGTAGCATCACGGTAAGGTCCATGCCGAGCGACAATAAGAATGTCAGAGAGGACGCTTGGGAGGAGAGAAATTCGCCGGTGCATTACGGCGGGATATTCGTTGCGTCGGAAATAATTATTACAACGATACAGATGACATATGAGTTGATCACGAGCAAGAAAGGCGGACCTATAGTATTCGAATATCTCTCGATTAAGCCGTTGAACCATTGATATCGTTTGCCCGCAGATCCAACAGGAAAGTCTACACGTCTGAGATCCGGAGTAGGAGCCAACAGTAGGAGCACAATCTTGCACTGGAAGGATACCTCCGATGGAAGCAAGAGAGAATATGGGGAATTGAGTCATAGATTGGTCGTAGACTCGTGGACAATGTAGGCACAAGTAGTTTGGGTATAGCATGGGAGCGTTTATGGATGCATGTAAATTGCCTCCATTAATTGATGATACATTGAAAGAACAGGAGATACGCCTTATATTTCAAGGCTGAGAGATGCATCTTCAACCTTACTGACCAGTCGAATCTTGATGCTAAGTAAAAAGCAAAGCAAAAGGCGATGAAGCGGTGGGCCATCGCAGGGCGTAGCAGATCCGAGTCCTGAAGATAGGGTGCCAGGCTGCCCTGCGTGGGCGGCACAAGATGCATTGAATGGTACCACGGAATAGGGATACTGAGCTTGTACCGACCAACTGAGAAAATTTACGACGATTGTGACAAGGCCAAGAAGATTCCAGGGCGCAAACGAAAAGAGAAAGAGCAGGATCCCCCTGCTCTTCGGAAAAGCTCACAAGTTAACGGATGTCACAGCGGTACATTTGGATTCGAATTGATGGAATAATGGTCTAATGATATATGGTAAAAGACTACTGATCTTTGAATACAGCACCTCAAGTCTGGGCAATGAAGGGTGACGACGTCCAAGGACACCACAACAAATCTATTGATGATGGCGAAGGTGAGAAGTTGAATGGCCTTCGCAATGCCGATTCGTACCCAAGTAACAGGTGGAGCCACAGCGTGCAGTGGAGAAAGCTGCTCCGAGCAGAGACAATATCTGGGATTCAATTCAGTCAGCAGACTGAACTGAGTGAGGGGGCCACATACCCAATTTTCGTTATGGCCTCAAATGGCCAGTCCTCCCAAAAAGGTCCGGCCAGCATACCACATTCACCATCGCCAACTAACCCATCTCAGCCGTTATCCTAACGCTTCCGCAGGGCATCCTTTGTTGGACATCAGGAGGGATACTGATCGAGTTGACAGCACCAGTCCCGGTGACGGTCCGTGCGGGAAAAGTGGCCGAGATTGTCGGTCTTCTAAGACTCTACCTGCGGTTGTGGAATCGCGGTCGAGGTCGAGGTCGAGGAACGAGAAATGGCTGTGAAGCATACAGAGAGATAAGACCGTTTGGACAAATGCCTCCCCAGTAATCAGAGATACGGCGGCTAAAGCAAATGTTAATTCCGTCATAAATGTATTAATCTCAAGTACATACCGAAACGTTGGCGATTTGAATCATGTTCAACGTCGAGGCGAGAAAACAAAAGAAAGCGAAGAAGAACGGAGTCCGAGGTGACGCGAAGAGTATTACTAAGCAGGGAACACGGCATGAGCGGCACGGTCAATTATCGGACTATCACCATCATGCACCGCCACCGAGGTTCGTCGTAAAAGCGGATTCCAAGGGTAGGGAGCTTTTTCGTAGGCCTCGGCGCGTGCGCCGAGTTGGTTTCTGGCTCTGCCACCTTCATCAGAAGCACCGCTTCTTGCCATGGGAGAAGATTTTCGTGCCGAATTTCGGCGGATGCTGAAGCGCTGATTCATGAGAGACATCGGTACGGTGGTCTCACTCTCATCTTCTTCTCCACCCAGTATCCTAAGGTGAGGCGAGCTACGCTCTCTCACTCTTGTCCCAATGTCGGAGATTTGGTATGAGCCTTTTAAGGCAAGTCCCATTAAAAGTCCGCTTTTTTGATTATTTACTTTCCGGTGAGTTTTTAATCGGCAGTGATGTTTCTCAGTGACCTCAGCCAGGTAACCGATAGACCAAACACATACTCTCCAGTCTTAATTCCTACTATAGGACTGTTGTAGACAGACTTAAAACACACCCAAGACTTTCTTTTGTATAGAGTGCGAATGAGGAACCCCTTTTGATATTATTTAAAGGTCAATTAAAAGGCCGACTAAAAACCCGGACTCTTTTCTTTTATGACTCCGCGGCCGATTTCGGCATTATGACCGTTTTAAAAGCCATAAAAGGCTAATGCAGAATGTCCGACACATCCTAATTTACATCCCCAGGCTTCGAGGCGTCGCCTCTCTATTGTATTATCATTGTAATTCTTCTTCCGTGCCTGGTGAGGCTCCGCCTCTTCTTCACTTCTCGGTCGCTTACTCTAGAATAGATTCTGGCTTCGTGGCATCGCCACTTCTGATTTATTAACTATTCAGAACTATTCTGCAGGTAAGCAATGAGCTCATGCCTTCGTGTCATCACTGACAGTTCATATGTTACTGCTGTACATTACTTGTATTATAGCCATTCGCGCACCATAATCAATTGGGGGCTCGGTTTTGAGTTCCCCTTTACGGCTACTGGTTTGTCAGAGTGAGTAGCAGAGGCCTCAGGTTGAATCCTGTATACACAGGACTCGGAATAAAACGGCAGAGATCGGCCCGACGTTATGTAACTCGAAAGTGACAAATTCCCGGACTTTGCCGGTATGTAACTCCTACCTCAACTTGCAACAAATGCAAGTTCCTTTGTTTTTTTGGCGTCTGGTTATCCTCTGCTCCGATCCTCATAGATCTTCTTAATTGCTCTCTGAAGTGATTTCTCAGTGGCATCCTCACTTGCTTGGCTCATCAAACATCGCCGGGAGAGGTTTCTTCCAAGACTCTGCTTATTCTGATATTTGCAGTGCTACCTTGTTCCATACTTACTTACAATCCAGAGAAAGTTATGATAACGCCCTGCCGAGCGTCTGGTCCATACTGTGCATGTCTTTATCTTTGGCTCTATGCTGCAAGATGCTCGTCTGACAGTGTCAAGTGCTTGATACCTCAAGCGGTTCATGTGCAAGACGGATTTTATGCGAAAGACTCAATTCTTCTCGGAATTCGGAGTGATGCTTTGCATGGATTTTTATCTCCCATTCAAGCAGTTGAAATCACAATTCTAGGCAAATCCTTGCGTCATATCCTGTGTGCAACTAGACCTTGGCGCAATGGTTATCTCTCCTCGTTCATTTCATTCTGCATTTGCCGCGGTTTATAGCGCTCTTGCTGACACAACGAGAGATAATTGATATCATCCATGCAGCTGACGTAAAGGTAATACAGCTTTCTCTGAACGAAACATAAAAATCACAATTATCGCTCAGAAGACCTCGACGTTTTCGAGACAAACCCGCAGGCTAGACTTGGCGAAGTCAAAACCAAAGGCGCCAAGTCAATTTCGCACAAGATAGGAGTGTGCTCGCAGCTTGATCAAGACCATGTAATTGCCGAATTAGAATATACACCCTAGTAAGGACCGCATGTTACTAGTTGAACGGTGAACCTTTTACTGATGCTGTCCTACCCCCAGTGAAACCCTCACATTGCGCAAAGTTGACATCTGCTCGCAATTGATGCAACGCGGTATTCAATCCCCTATCGTGGGATGATCTCTTGTCTGTGAATGGAAACACGCCACATGTACCGCGATTCTTCAACTCGTGCCTATACGCGTTGCTACTCTGCACATATCTTTTGTGAGGATAATCCTCTTATGGCACGCAATCTATCGTGATACTTGGATGTGTTTAAAAGCTTCAGTTTTGAGTGGAGAGAAAGACGAGCCTTTCTACGCAATCTGAAATCCTCTTTCGACAATGCTTTCCTTCTTTACGACTACTCTTTCCCTCGTAGCTGCTCTCGCCCCCACGGTATTGGGTGCTCCTCATATCGCGCTTCGTGATGTCCAGACATTTGCTGGGAAGGTCAAGCCGAAAGGATACATTGTCACTCTGAAAGAAGGCGCATCGAAAGATGAACTCCTCGAGGATCTCGGGTCCTCTGTTACTGCTGTGTTCAATCGTACATCCAACTGTTTTGCTGGTAAAATCTCCCGTTCCGCTTAAGTATCCTAGCTGTATTTCGTTAGGTATCCTGGACGACGATGCTCTGAACAGCATCCGGGCTCATCCGGGCAAGTTTTATTCCGTCTTCTATCTCAAATCTATGCTAACCATATTATCATTAGATGTCGGTATGTTCCTCAACGCTAGTACTTGTTCAATGAATCGTGATACTCACTAGTTACGGTCAGAGTCTATCGCCCAGGATGGCATCGTTCCATCACAACCACCCAGTATGCTGTCTTACTGCGATCTTTTTCTCTGGCCCAGTGCTTTACTTTTTGACAGATCCAATGCACCCTGGGGTCTGGCTAGGATCTCCCAAACAAGCTCTCTTGGGAGCTCCGACACCTCGTAAGAACTTCGCTTTCTCATGATTTATTTACCGGCTAATCCCTTCTTTACAAGTGACCTGACCTACAAGTATAACTATGACTCTTCTGGCGGTGCTGGAGTCGATGTCTACGTCGTCGATACCGGTAAGTATCAAGCTCGTATCGAACGAGCAGCCTTCTTATGGGCGTAATAGCGTGCAAAAAATGCGATGAATGCAAGTTATATTTTTTCCAGTCGCAAGTTACTTTTAAGTGCGCAAGTTCATGTCCCCTCCTGCAAGTTAAGTGTTTTCCTATACTGATATACACATCATCAGTTGTTGCCATAGATCCCTGAATAAGATCTGGGGGCGGGTTCTGAGCAAACCGAGATGGCTAGACCGGCCGACATTATTTCGGCGATTAGATATCAAGATTTTTCCTTTGTTGCCGTGATGGGCCAAAATCCTTGGGCATTAAGTTTTGATTTCTTCTACCTTAGCTATTTATTTGACGCCATTTGATGTGATGGAGTCAGATTTTTATTTGTCTTCGATATTTTGATCTCTAAGTTTGATCCTCAGTAGCAAAGCACCTTCAACGATTCGAATTTCGAGTTCAAGGTATGTATGAATGTCTTCTGTGCGATAATTGATTTCTGAACTGGAATGCCTTTCAACCTTGTCCAGACAGTTAACTCTGGATTCAATTGCTCTGCGAGCCAATGATAAACCGAGGTACGATAACCAAATTTCACGGAGTTCCAGGGCTCACAATATGGCCCGCTGAACAGCGTAGGTACCGCATTCGTTCCCAAAAAGTTGACATACGTACGGTGCATCGTCTATAATCAGTTGTCTGGACCACAGCGGGACAACAAATCACAGACTCCTTACAATAGCAAACTTGCTTCAAATGTCCCTTAACTTGGGGGAAAGATTCGAGCGAACTTGCGCACTAATAACCAACTTACGGCCGGAAAAACCTCACTTGCGCGGGCGTGAATTTTTGCACGCTATTACGCCCATACCTTCTTACTCTATAGGTATCTACACTGCACATGTAAGAATAATGCAAGAATTTTCTTAGACATTGCTCACCAAGTTTCAGTCAACCTTTGGCGGTCGTGCGTCGTGGGGGAAAACATTTGGCGGCTATGCGTCTGTCCCTTTTCGCTACCGTTTTACTGTTCATTGAAGATGTATTACTAAAGTAATACTGACGGAAACGGACATGGCACTCATGTTGCGTAGGTTCATTTTTATCTGTATTTATCAAGAGAAACTAAACTCTGACACAAGGGGAACTGTCGGTGGAAGTCAATATGGCGTCGCGAAGGTTTGCTTGTCATAAGGTTTCGCCGCGGCCAACTCAGAATCGTGCATTTCAGGCTGTCAACCTCATTGCCGTCAAAGTTCTCTCTGACTCTGGTTCAGGCTATATTTCCGATATACTATCTGGCTTCGATTGGGTCATTGACGCTGTTGGTTCGTAAACCCTTTATTCCTCCCACAATCTTGGTAATGCATTAATACATTGACACAGAATCCTCTGGTAAACCGTCCATCGTCTCTCTGTCGCTTGGCGGCTCCGTGTCCACTACATTCGATAACGGCGTGGTTACTGTGCATAATTCAACTGTTTCTTTCCTACTATTATTGACATCTTTTACTTTTTTACAGCTCATCAATGCTGGTATCCACGTCGTCGTTGCTGCTGGGAACGGTAAATACTTCCGTGTTGTTCGAATTATTCTTTACTCATTCTTGATTTAAGATGGAACAAACGCATCTGGTACAAGCCCTGCTCCCGTTGCAGCTGCTATCACCGTAGGAGCTACAACTATCGCTGATGCACGTGCATCCTTTTCCAATTACGGGTGAAAAGCATCTCGCTTCCTTCCGCACATGCTCTCTCTGATATTACCACCCAACCCAGCTCTGTTATAGACATATTCGCGCCTGGCCAATATATCACGAGCTCTTGGATCGGGAGAACTACTGCTACGAACAACATCAGCGGAACCAGCATGGTGAGTCAGAAATCAGCCCAAACCACCTTGTCCGGAAATATAATGTCTTATCAATAGGCTACCCCTCACGTCTCTGGTCTCGTCGCATACCTCATTGGGCTCAACGGTAATCAAAGCCCCGCTGCAATGAGTACTCTCATCAAGTCTTTGGGCATATCTGGCGCTTTGACTAGTATTCGTGAGTGTATTTTGGTGTCGATACTTGAATGTATCATCCTGAACCATGATTTAGCTTCTGGCACCTCGAATCTGTTGGTAAACAACGGGTATTAAAGCATATGCAGTACAAATAGTCAAGAATGTCTTACGATTCTCAATGTCATTGTATCCATCGGTAGAAAGGATACCTGTCTTGTCGTTCACCTCTCAACGCCGGCTCTGGCATAACTCTCGTCCACCGTTTCCTTGGGTTTTGACTTTTGTTCGCTATAATTTTGCTTAGTCTTTCCATGGACTCTATCGTTTGTATGTTCGATCTGAATGCACCATTGGCCCTGTAATACTCCCAACCTGACAACGGACTCCTATCGTCTTTTTGGGTATCTGTTCTCTGCAGCCTGTCGTCAAAAGCGGTTCGTATTTTATATCGTTGCAAATCTACAGGCTACCAGGTACCTCGGTACATCATACTGAAGGTAGCCGCCCTCGACTGCATGTTTTCCAACTATTTCACCTTCTTCATTCCAAGAGTCAAGGAATTATGAAACATTTCGACCACAATGCCATCGCAGTGCCAGCGATATTTACTCGGGCAACTTTTTAACTATCGTTGCTTGAATACCTCGGTGCGTTTCCTGAATCGAGAAGCCCTTTCGTCGTCCGGGTCTCGGCCATGAATATTAATGCTGTATATTTAGGGATACTCGTCGCAGAGCCAGAGCCTTCGACGTCTGACAGATGATCGCATTCATCATGGCAAAGAATCGATGAACCCTCTCGCTTGATGTGATACTAGTATCTGCATTGACTATGTTTCGTGATGCAAAAGGAACATCGGATTTTGTTCGCTGCTAGCTGTACTCCGTCAACACAGGAACCCAAACGATGATGCTAGCATATCTTCTCGTCATCACATTCTGAAGCTATTCCTTGAACACACTTGCAGATCTAAGGGCGTTAACGTCAGCAACAGCACTGGTGACTGAAGGAATGGTTTACTTACGGTAAGGTTAAGGTCGCTCCATTGTCGCACTTGATAGTGATCATTTGGGTACCCTGTAGTGCTTCAGTGCCCGAATAATTCATGGAGCCCAACATACTCACATTCGCCGCATGAGTCGTAGATTCTACGACTCCTTTCATGAGGTTACCAGTAGAACTGTAGAAGAAGACACGTGAACCGGACTAGACGAATAGTATATCGCAGTCAAGCTCGAGGCACTGGAAGGTATGCAGAGAGGACCCACTGGAAATTTATTCATAGCAGAGAGTTAGTGGGGTAGCTGTAAAACGGATTTATCGATATAAGTATCCGCCCCACCCTTACGGTCGAGATACTTGAGTACGAAATGAATGAGTCATTTGTGTATTAATCTGGGACGAATCTGGGAAGACAAGCAACTTCGGAATCAGACAGGAACTTGGCATGGATACTCCCATAAACATGCAGCGCATTTATACTTAGACCGTCTTTTTTTCTAGCGGACCGACGTCTTTCATATAATATCAACGGCGAGCGAGAATTTAAGCAAGTGATCGTTGTCTGATGATGCTGCGGGTTCAGGAACAGACTTGTACCCGATCTGTGCCCGGGACTATGGTGCTTTTGTACCAAATTATTGACATTCTGGAAGTAAATGCTTGTTCTAAGGGCGGGGAACATTTCTACGGGCCTGCTATAACCGTCGTCTTGGCCCAGGTGACCTCAACTATCGTTCATTTTGTTTAAAGTTTCAAGTCAGGTGCTTCAATGGGTTGAATCCTCTGGGAGCTATCTTCACCCCGCCTTCCACCAGTGTCAGCGTATCTCCCCATTTGTATCATTTACCCTTTATCTCCCGGGACATCGTTTTTCCTCACTGTGTGCATTGTTATATCCTGTCGTGGGGTTGTTCACGGGCCTGGTCGCTGCAGCCTGCATATCATGTCACCTGTGTATGATTTCTAAATCAATTTGAATACAGTAGGCACGAAAATTTTCACGTTTTTCATGCCGCTTCCTTGGCAATTCACTGTTTTGGCGCTTTCCTGTTTCGATGGGCCTACTGATATCTTCATCCTCCTACTATCGTAAAGCTCTTGCGTGTGACAGAGTCTCTTACAAACTTAGAGGTACAGTACGGCACACAACGCTTCTCGGGCTGTGCGGATTTGGGGTGACGGCGTTTATTTGCCAGCAGTATTAGCCTTCACAATATTGATATACTTTACTAGGTAAACTACGTCTTTACTTGATATAATAGTGTTAGATGCTTTCTCGTTATTTCGTGCCCATGAAGGCTCGCGCTGAAGCCCGTTGAACCCACCTTTGCTTTCAGGACGCTCAGCTGAGAACAGGTTACGCGTAGTGAACGCCGCGACAGAAAGCTGACGGCAATGTGAAATGAAGCCCGCAGGGGCGGTGATGCGTGACCAAATTCCGAGATGCTTATTAGAAGTACACGAGAGCTAGGCCTTTACAGAGGAAAGATGTTAGTTGGTGGAGACAATGCTAGTGATACCCGGATGCAAATATACATTATCACAAGCGGCAAATGGAAAGCGAGTGCGTTATGCTTAACGTACTCCGTGAGTACACATTTCCTCGTTTACAGCGAGCGTTGAAAATGGATTCAGGAGCCCCGAATAAATTTACCCGGCCTTGACTTTTCTCTAGACGGGACTCCGTCTAATCGAATGAGAAGAATTGCGACCAAAGCGATGTATAATAGATACCCTCTTATCGTGCGAATACTACCTCAACGTTTTCCTTTTCTCCCGTCTGAAATTGTGGCGCTTCACCTCAAGCAGCTTATCAACTGTGACGGGGATCAGGAGATTCAAAGAGCGCGGCGTTTCCTTGAATTCTCGATGATCTGATACCGGGAGACACTCGCACGTGTAGAGAAGCGGCGTTTTGGGACAAGCACGTACAAGGTCGATTCCCGGAGATACCGGATCACCTCTGGAAGACTGAGCCATTTCCGTGAACTGAGATTTTCCGTGACAAGATAGGCTCTAGCCTCGTACCTATCGGATGAACCTCGGTGAGTTCAAGGATCCTTAATTCATGGACGTTCTATTTGCAACCGAGATACGTTCTCAAAGTAAGAAACTAGCAGTCATACAGAGAAAGATATTATTACCTGTGCAGCCGATCCGTTACAGCCTCAGCGGTGACCACTGGGTACCCAATATCCAACTTCTACAACATCCTTAGAGTAAGGAGACAGCCTAGGGGAAGACACGGGTGAAGGAAGCATCCAAGGTCGGGTCTACTCTGACGTGTACAATCTACAGGATCCGTACGAATCGCCCCCCAACACCCCGGACGGCCAAGTCGACCCCCCGTCCCCCAGAGATACGAGATAATCCTGCAAGAACAAAAATAAGCTGGAAGGATGGCCGCAGCACATTCGATATTTCAAATCTGTTTAAGGGCTGCGGATAACGGCATGAAGCTTGAATATGCACAGCTTGAAGATCAAGGTACTTTCCTCGGCTCTTCAGTTCCGTGCTAACGAGATTTCTGATTCGTGTTCAAGATAGGGGATGTAGTAAACTTATACTGGTTGCCGAGGAAAGAAGAGCGTACACATAATTTCTGTAAGGGACACGAACCAGAGAGTCGTAGATTGGAAGCCCCCGGGTGACTAGACTGTCGGCAGTTACTACAATACCGCATTGCCCCAGAAACTACCGTGATATATAATTGAATCTTAAGAGGGCAGCCGGAATCGATGTAGGACCCTACTTTTAATGACCAACGAAAACAAATTTGATAGGGTGCTGGCGAGAGCTGTAGAGATGTCGTTGACTCTGATGTGGAACACCGAACACTACCTATCTCACGTTCTCGTTCTCGTCTTCTGGAGCGTGGCAGAGAAGAAATCATGGTGGGAGCAAGAGGATAACGAAGGGAATTATAGACCGGGGAGCCATAGGCTCTGTAACGGTGTCCAATTCATCGAGGAGTAGAGTCACCGCTGGTTAGAGGAAATCTGATAGCATCGGCCAAGCTGGATTGAACTTGGAGAAGTAGAACAGAGTGTTTGAAACTTTCGCGAGACTCTGACGGAGGTGAGCGCAGCCATGAAGGCACGAGAGGTGACGACTACATAGAAGATGAGACATTATTTCCCTTATACCTATTATAGCTGTTAGGCGAAATCTTAGATAACAGGGGATCACATACGAATGTCTCTTTACCATCACTCTTCAAGAAAATATTTGCAGACCTCGTTGAACATGCCTGTCAGCGTTCTGATTGATTCTAAGCTATGCAAGACGTCCTGGCTGATATAATCCTCTAAGGGTTCTAGGATTGTCTGTGCAGATAGCTGATCAGCACTAAGAAGCAACGGGGAAATTTTGATCAGGCAACATCCGAGGGGAAATGATGTACTTACGATCATGAGATTCCTTTATAGCAACGAGAACAGCTGACGGGGTAATGGATGCCACTGTATTCCCTTGCATGAGGAAGAATAACGTCGACTGTGGCTATCATAGCAGGTTTAGGGCAAGAAAATGCGTCATAACTGGTACATCGGCCAATGAATTCATTATCAAACCGTACTCGGTTCCGAGTCCTGTGTATACAGGATTCGGTCTATGCTAACCTGAGCATCTCGGTGGCGGTGCGTGATGGTGGTGGTGGTGGTGTTACCGGCGCCAGGTCCCAATAAGGAACGGCCGGGTCCACAGCCCTGACATGGCGAATCATGCACTGTGGCTGCGAAGGCTCATACCGTTGTAACCACACTGTTGAGTGCGTCTCGCGGAGTAGAGACTCTTCGCAGGGTACACAATTGAATGAAAACAGTTAGCATTGACGTGTACCTCGAAAATCCGGTGCAGTGTATGACTCCTTTGGGAATCACTGCCGTCCAAAGGGAGGAGTATAATGAAACGACTCATGAGACATGTGCGTCAGTAATGACAATGAAAGAACATGTGAACAAATGAGAGAAATACGTAACGGGAAAGTGAGACATGGTACACGGACTATGGGGTGTATGGAAAGTTACAGGTCAGTAGCAATGAGGAGATATCGAGCACAATGGGAGCGTACGAATCATCCACCAAGAAACAAAGAATCACAGACTGCAGGAACGAAACGCAAGCATCAGGTGAGCACAACAAACGAGGTCTGCTATTTCGCAGAACAGCATGCCTGCAGCGATGCTCGAGCCTTAGCCCATGAAAACGATGAAACGGGAACGAAGAACAACGAAACAGGCAAGCTCCTTGGAAAAAGAGACCACCAGCGGACATAACAACCGAAAACATGAACGAGGTCACAAATCCACAAGGCCATGGTGCTGCCGTTTGAGTCTGATGGCGAGGATTGCGCGATTGTAGTAGTGAGGGGGACAGTAGCAGGTAATACGTTGTGTTGGGATATTCTCGGTAAAAGGTACAAATAGGCACCTTGGTGAAAAACGAATGATGGTGGAAGACATGATAGACCGACAATTTGCCGTGCCGTGCATGCCGTGGTCGCCCACGTTAATGTCACATGTCACACTTGTTACGCTCTTCCTCAGGCATCTCTTTTTACCAAACGAGGCTATGTCCTTACCCTCATATCTCGTAGTCCTGACGCCTCTCTCATGAAATCAATACTGCTGGTAGGAGCGCTGCCTTAGCCTTATTCCCCAATCCTCATCTTGTCACGGTTCATAGGCATCAACGTCACTTCCACTCAAATTCAAGTCCGCTGCTGTCTGCTACCAAGGCCTACAATACGAGACACGGTTTCTGGATACCGTTCTTCGATATCACACCCACGGGCATCTGTATCGTAATGTAAACGAAAACTGAAGGCGTTTGCACTCTCGAAAATGATGGGAACTCCAGGCAAATCAAGTCGACGAGAAGGAGAAGAGAGGGCGGTTGATCTCCATGGGAGCTATGGTGTGCGCAAGAGGGAATATCACCACCAATGTTAATGCACTCCTCAGCTGGGAAGCACACTTTGAGGGTGCTGTCAGTCCGTGAAAAGGTTTGGCTAACAGCGTATACTTGTGGGGTAGACCATCGTCAATGGCGGCATCTCGGCCGACTTTTAGTATTACGTCGGACATCGTCTTAACGACATGAGTGGGAACAGAACGAACGTCTTAGGTTGTCTCCGGCAAGTATAGTAGAAGTACCTCAGGTACGTTCTTCTTATCACTGGCGTTGTGGATGGTCCTGACCTGCCTTCGTAGTGTTCCTTCACCTTGTCAAGTAGCCTCGTTCGACTCAGCATCACTCAATGCCCTGTTCAACCTACCACTGACTGCGAAGGTGTGCTCTTTCCTTCTGTATGTTTTGTTTGTGGTTTATGACCTGTTTGTTGTTTTAGGAT